TATATATATATATATATATGAGACCTCTTTATTGCAGATTTTAACCTACTGTGGGTGGGTCTGGAACATATTCCCCGCAGTAAAGGCAACTGTACATCACTGCCAGCTGACTCTGAAATAATTCATTTAAGCTTTAGTGCTTGAGAAGACTGAAGGAAGGGGGGTTGGGGGAAACACATTTTTCTTCCTTCTCATGCATGTGTTCAATAGTTGATTGCAGCAGGAAGTGGATCTGCTGGGACTCATGTGATGAGACTCCCTGATGAAAACAACATTAGGTTTTCGCGAGCCGGAGCGGCAGGAAAGTTGTGGAAACAACTGCGGCGGCCTGCGCTTCAGAGCCTCTCAGCTGGATGAAACTCCTCACACGTGATAATGGGCTACACGGGAGTTAGCATCATTGCTGCAGCGGGTGGGGACAGGATACGCCAGCATCCACCCGTGACCCCAAACTGTATTAAAACAGATGTGCGCTAGGACATCCGCTGTGCTCCTGCAGGGGTCTTTTCCCCGTCTATTTACAGTGAAGCCCCCCAAAGTCGAACGCCATGAAGGCAGTACAAATTGTTCATCCATAATTTTCTTACGTTCAAACGATTACCATGCTCAGTGAGCATCTAAGGCAACTTTTATTGAGCCAAGGCACATGACCAAAATGTCACTAAAAATGTATGCAGTACACGCTGTCACTGTACAGTGCTGGCATCGATCGATCATTATTTGTCGTGAATAAATCATAATTTTTCGGACCAATTTAGTGAAACTTGAAGATGGAATCTACAAATAATGGTCAGAGGAGGAGCAGTGTGATGACAACCATCAAACGAGAAAATGAACATCAACATTGTTCTAGCTTCTCCATACAATATGAGCAATACAATCAATAAAAGCTACAAATACTAAAAACATCAAATTTAGTTTTATAAAGTAGTTACTACTGTAAATGAGTGAGTCGTACTTTACTTGAGCTATATTAAACAGTGGGTAACTAGTCTTTGGGCAAGTGATGACCCTTGTGAGTCAATACATGTTTATGAGGAGAGAACATAATAATTCACTACCTTATTTCCTATATGAAAAATCGTTTTGAAATGAGAATTCGGAGGTCAACTGGTGTGTTGGACTTAGTAGTTTCCACTGTAATTAACCCAGTTGTGTTTTTTTCCCCCCTGTGCGGACATACACACTCGAACTTAAAGAGAAGGATCTTTTTCTCAGGAAAAGCCAACACATTGTGTCGTTTCATTAAATCACGCTGTGTTCAATGCACTGTTTAATGCAATGCCGCACTAAGTGTGTAGACCTACTATATTCCAGATGGCAGAAGAATTTATGGACACTGCCTCATTAACTGTAATGCATATTAGTGCTGAGAGACAAGGCCATATAAAAAAAGGGGAAGCTGTGTTGCTGATGATGGCGAGTTAAGGAAAGAGTGGACGCCCTGTAAGAAAAATGGCAGTCGAATTCTTTCAGTCTTTTCAGATGGGCAAAAACACTTTGTTCTGTTCTATTTTTTCCCCCTCAGACACTGCTGCATTATTGTAGGATGCAATTCATCCCGTGGTTAATATTTGTGAACATTTTGAACACAGTCGTAGTATTCTTACAGCGTAGTAGAGAGACACACCATGCGTCATGGCGTGGTCATAGACGGGTGGTGGCTCTGAATGATCGTTGTCTGCTGTTCAGGTGTCTCTCTCTCGCTCTCTCTCTCTCTCTCTCTCTCTCTCTCTCTCTCTCTCTCTCTCTCTCTCTCTCTCTCTCCGTGTGTGTGTGCGTGTGTGAGAGATTTTTTCCCCTCTTTGCAAGAGTGGGGTGCTGCTGTAATGTCGATACAATGACAGATGGTCCGCACAAAGCCGGCGCGCATTGTTCAAGCCGGAAAATAATAGCCTCCATTTATCAGCCGTTCGCGCACTTTGACACTCGAAGGGAAACACGGGAGTGAAAATTAATCAAAGTTACTACTCTTCGGAAAAACTTTACACGCCTGCATCTGTTCTTCAACATGCACCACGCGTGGACGCTTCTCCGGAAGCATCCGAGAAGTTGCAGCGTGGCTTAATAAATGTCTGAAATTTTTCACAGTCACGCGGTCCCTGTTACTATACATATTATTTTACATACCGGCTGATTTTTCTAAACGACTATAACTAATAATAATAATAACAACAACAATAATAATTATTATTATTATAATAATACTAAAAATAATAATAATCCTCCACTCACGCGCCACATTCCACTATTTGACCACAACCTCATTTTCCATATTCCACAACGGTCATGTGCACATACTCACGCCGATCGTCCAATCGAGCACAATTTCCTCCACGTTCCACGAGTGACTATTGTCACCCTTCTCCGTCCGTGAGCAACTCCACACCGAATGAGCGCCGGTGCCCGAAATCCACGCATGACGTCTACTTCGGCGGCTCAACAAAAAGGGGAGGGCGTCCGGTTCGCACGGATCACCAGAAGGAACGTGATTGGCTGGCGCGGATATAGCTTGACAAGACGCGCGCTTTCCATTGGATGGCCGAGCTCAAGGGAGGCGGGGTCATCTCCTGTATTATTCAGGAGAAATGCGGGTGGGGAGAGAAGGAGGACACTCGGTTAGCGTGCTCATGTATGTGCAGACAATGGCCTGCCTCTCATACACATTCACACAAATAGAAGCATCACACACAGCACAGTTGTTCTTTCATGTGTAAATCCAATATATGTTTTTCTTTCTGCAAACACAGGTCATAAAAATTACAAAAACAAATTGAAATTTTCAAATCAAAATGCCCTTTTAAAAATGTGCTGGACCCCCTCTCTACACGTATATTAATAAATCAAAGAGCCGTACATAAAGCATTAAAAATATAAAAGTGTGTGTGGCTGTTATGATGCTTGAAGTGCAGAATTGTCCGCACAGGAGTAAGAGAGGAAATGGTGCATGGATAATTCTCTCTTCAGATCCTCTGCTGAGAGAAAAGCTCTGAGCTTTTTTTTTCATGCTCCTCTTTGCACTTCAGTGCTGAAGCTGTATGTGTGTATGCAGTCCTAGGCCTGTCCATTTAAGGAAAAAATTCCCCCGTTTGTAATGCTGTGAATTAACAGCTCTATCTATCCACGGTTGAGGGGTGATTACAGTTCTGTCACCTTTAACCTTCAGGCCTCATGAAGCAGCACAAAGCGGGTACGTGTGAGGAGATGTCCCATCTTTTCTGACACGTAGCCATGGTGATGGAACCCATCTATGCAAACATCACCTGTGTTAAACCTTTGGGGCAAGCAAGCACGTGGAAGCTGACCTCAATGAGTGCAATGAGGCCTTCTTTGGGGGAAGAGATGCTAAAAAGGTTGCGAGTGTCTCAACAAAAAGGGCGTATCATTTGAGGATTGTGTGGATTTGACAGACAATTTGCATAACGGGTGGGAATGATGCGCTCAGATCTATGGCAACTAGATTTTTTTTTTCCCACAGCGGTCTATTTTCAAACATCCAAAGGAGAGGAAAAGCCTTTCAAGCTCTTTTTCTCTCAATATTCTTATTTTAGTCCCAGTCTCAATAAAAAAGCAAGTTGTGCACAAATTCCGCGTTTGGTCAAGCTCGATTTACAGGTTGCATCCTGTCATAATTTGTGACGTCAGCACACTTCATTAGACATTATTTCATACAATATCGCAGGACAATGTATTTGTGTTTTGCTTTTTTTTCCCCGCTAAGCTAATTTGCTTCACACCAGCTATGAGCTGCAGCTGGCTAGCTAGCGAGGCTAAACCAGGGCACAACAAATCCTCTAAATCACTAATCCTCGCCTTTGTGATGGCGAGTAAGGTACACTTCTGTCAAGTATTGTTATGACTCAAGAAGGACGAAGACAAGCTAATCATACAGACCCATAGAGCAAAAAGAGAGAGCAAGAGAAGACGTAGAATCCATGCTAACCGCTAAATGAATGTGAAATGCATAGGGGAACGCCAGAATTAATACTTAAAAGCCCTGTAAAGGGACCAAAAAAAAAAAAAGATATTGTAAATTTGATGCAGCTAAGATAAGAATAGAATAAAACCCATCACCAAGTATATACAGGAGGTTTCAAAAAAAAAAAAAAAAAGGAACCTTGCCTCCACCTGCAAGACTGTGCGGGTGTGGCAACTGGCGCCGACTTTCACCTGTCAATCAAAAACATTTGTTTGTCCAATATGTGCTGAAGTGTCACTTGAAGGCTGTCTGCCGCAGTATTTAATAAGGAGTTAACTTTTCCCAGACTCAACATCAAGCGAGGCTCTAATGTCGTGGACGACAGTGTGTGTGCTACTTCTTTCTTTGCTCTTTGCTCGACGGGACTCTCGGACGACAGCGCAAGGACATTTGATTTGGATATGCTTTGACTGGTGCTTTAAAAAGTTTGAGTCCATCGGTTGTGCTATGTTTGACAAGGAGCAAGGTGTGATGCCGAAGGCTATTCTGTTAGCTTCTTGGGCTAGCCATTACCTCTTCGCCGCCGGCTGGCCGTATGCCATATGCTTGTCACTTGTCATCAGACAGTGTTATACGTGTATATGTTAACCTGAAACATTACATTGGTGCTTGGTTTTATTTTCCCTCTGCTCACAAGACACATTTTCTGTTTGCAAAGCACTTTTGTAGTTGCACGAATGCATGTCTAATTCGCAGATAACATGACCTCTTAAGTTTAAGCGAAGCACACATCAATTTTTAACATCTCAACGACTGTTTTTTTTTTTTTACCAAACATGAGCGACCACACACACACACACAAGGGAAAAAAAATCAGCAAGCGTGTGCTTACTGCTCTTATAGTGTGTGGTGTGCTCAGCATGAGAACAAAGTAAGCCACACACATACAGACAAATATGCCAACCGCAAACTGAGCAACAAAGCCCAAAATGACTGAGGTGGACCATAGTGAAAAAAAATTAACAGTGGATGACTCTTAGGAGCGACTGAGTACCGATGACTAACTAGCTGTCACTGAAAAATCGCCACCCTGTAAATAGATTTTTCTCCATATATGATAACACCACACTCTGCTATTTATTTGTTAATTTTTTTATTGAACAACAAAAACATGTCACAATTGTCAAGAAGTCGACAGACAGTGTGGATATTTTGAGAGACTGTTGGCGCTGAACAATCGCCCCATTTGCACCTGTGCGCTTCGACATTTGATTCTCCTCGCTTTCCTGTCACAGATTTATACATACGAAATCGTATTGGTGCGGCTTGGCGGCGCTGTGAAGGCCAGCGGCCAGCAGAGTCTCACTTACGCTTCCAAACCGGGAAACGTTTGATTTTATGTTTGTCAAAGCTCGTGTGTATTTTTCATTGTCTGTTACATGTGCGACGTTGTGACACCATTCAGAGGTGGTTCAAATATTGAGTCACAGCAAACCTTGTTGTCGATATTTGTCTTCTCTTGAAAGAGAGTTCCTAAACTATGCTTGGTGGGCAGCAGGCTACCCGATAATAGGGCCTTTGCTAAATTTGGTCGGAAGGGGGCAAAATATTCACTTTTCAACCTGATTATTGAGTTGTGTGCAATGCATTAGCGAGTGAAGTCCGAGCTTGTGTATCTATTGGCCTTCTTATCTTCACAAGGCTTCCCAACAATATGAAAGTCACGTCGTGCCGCTAATGTAGCTCCCTTAGTCAAAGGCATCTGATTTTCCTCTTTTTGTTTCCATTCTGTGCCCATTCAATCAGTGTACCAGTCGCCAAGGAGACGAAAGGGTCAGTCAATCAAGGATAATTGTAAGTGCCATCATTTCATCATCACTACCTATTTCCCAGTGGCTCATTAGAATGTGATAAAAGGATTTTTTCCCCATCCAAAACAAATACGTGATTACTACCGATTATTAGGGGTGACTTTAGATATGGCACAGTGACTGAATTTCTAATGAAATCGTGCTAATAAATTCATAATATTGAGTCAAACAGAAATACAGGTCCACCAGTTCATGAGTGAATTATATTTTGGGCAAAAGGCCATGTGGATGTTTGACACTGGACGAAGTAATACTGTGTGTATCTACTCTCACAAACAATTACATGCTACGGTGTGTGTGCCCAACTCAATCCAAACAGAAATGTCCGACACGCCACTTCCTGACCAACTTATTAAGTGTTGGTTTAAACACGCTGTGCCTTAGAAGACTGACATCTCCAGCTGAGCCAGTAATGAGCTGTCAGACACGCTGTCATCCGCGGTAGAAGGGGCAAGGAGCTATTCAAAATTTATGCAAATTATCGGTGGGAAAAAAATGGTTTAAAGAAATAGCTCCGTATATATATTTTGGGGAAATCCTCATCAGAGTTATGATTTGTTGATGAATACTACTTAACCACTGACAGAAAGTGCAGCCAATAAAGTTTATTACTGACTCCAAGATGATGGTTTGCAGCTTTTGTAAGAATATGTTTACACGGGAATAGTAGAAAGTAAAAAAAAAAAAAAAAAAATGTCAGTAGTCAGGAATACATAGACAAGACACACAAGAAGTGCATGTTTATGTGTGTCCAGTATATATGACCTCGCCGGAGGAAAAATAGGCAGCTAATTTTGGACTATCCATAAGGCTGTAACTAAACAGTCTATTTGCATGCAAGTTTTTTATGAAATTGCATCTGTCATTATTCTCTTTGTCCTGTCTATTTCTTATTAAGGGGTTAACATTTATCCCTTGACACCCATAGACATGAATATGACTGTGAGTGCGGATGGTTGCCTGTACATATGTCCCTTGTCATTTTCACTTTTTTAATAACTTCATAATGTAAACTGAGACATGAACATGAGAAATGCAGAATGGTTTCCAATTTCTTGTGCCGTCATCCAAGGACGCAAATAAACGTGGCCTCCAAACGGTTTTATGTTTACTTGATGGTCCAGAAAATCATCATATTATTGTAAATTCGCTCATTCACCTAATTGCAAACCGCAGTGTGAGCTCCTTATCGACAGCGCAGTACCCCATTCGCCAATGCCACACCACCACTAGTCCTACACCCAATTCTGCCACCTCGCCAACCTCCCGTTGGGTCTCATTTTCCCTGGATGCCAGAAGCAAATGCTGTATCTCAATTAATCACTGAAATTCTAATGGAAAGCTTCCCTTCAGGATGAGGCCCATCGCAGAGGGGGCCGCAGCCAGTGCCGTTGGTGAAGCTGCTTTGATTACTTGAATACACTCTCAGCTTTGGAGTCACTGCAGATGTCTGCTAATTGTGGTGATTATGGTGAACGGAAGGGGGTAGGAATATGCAATGAATTTCACATTGCTTTCATGCCTGACATCCTTTGGTCATAAGCATCTGCTATACAACCGGAGCATCCTCAGCGTTTGGAGATGGACAAAAGTGACAAAGGAAATGGGCATGGAATACTGGATGGGCATCCTTTTGAAATGCCAAGGGCAGCCAGATTGGCTCCATTCATTTTTGTAGTTTTATTCATAGAAGAAACACGATTGGACTACTGACTTCTCTTTTGTACAAGTGGATGGACATCTTAATAACCTCAATACCTTATTCATTCTTTGGCCAGAATTACAAAGCAAATCTGTGACTTGGTGTCTGAGGAATTTACAAATTAACACATCCACCTCTATGCTTAGACCTGCGATTGAACTCTGGAGGAAAAAAAAAAGATAAACAGTCATGGCTTGAATTACCAAGTGACCCGACTTTTTTCAAAACAGATTTTCAACACATGAGCAGTCGTTTGGCAGATTTATTTCTTTGACCTGCGAGCAAAAATTAGAGATACAAGCTGTCAAACTAAGCATACATCTAAGAGAATGAATTTAAAACAAACACATCGGTTGCACCTTAATGCTAGCAAAAATGCAAAACGCTGTAGAAGGGCTAACAAAAAACATCAGTGTTGCGGTGTTATACGCAATGGATATTTGAACACAAACGGTGGTGCAAAACATGTAGATAAATCTACAAAAATACTCAAGCTTATATTCTTTGTCCTCTGCAAAGAACGACTATCACCGAGGCTTACTGAGCAATTTATATCCATATGCCTGTGTCATACTCCTACCAGGTGGCAAAGGCGCACACTCGAGAAGGAGCAGCACAATGTCAATTGAATTGAAGCAAAAAAAAAATTGTGGCAAAACCTATTTGATATTTTTATATAATAACGCATTTAATTGACTAGGGCTGCAACTAATGATTAGTTTAATAATCGATTAAGATATGAGTGTCTTCAGCAACAAGTACGATCAAACAACGAATTAAACTCATATTTCAAGGCACCGCTCTACCTGTACTGTAATGTATGTAATACATAAAGTATCAAATGTAATAAAATAAAAAAGACACTTGTGAAAAATGCCCATGAGCCAAATGCTGTTGAAATCTTTTAACCAATTAAAACAAGAAAATTCTTCCATGCAACTTTTTTTTCTATACATGTTCAGAATTACGTCACACTTGGACATGCTATGCAGGATGCTGAACTGGAACAAATCATACGTTCAGTCATACATTTAGCATATTAATTGAGTTATGTGTCGCATAGTCTGTGTGCTCGGTTGCGAGTGCAACACGGCTGATTTATCGTGGATGTGCTTTTGCAAGGCAAGACTTGGCTAAATCCCTCTGGGGCAAGTGCTCTTCCTGTCAGCCTGATCAAAGCCCGTCTCTTGATAAGAGCATAAACTGCTCCGTGCCCCATCGCCGTCAATGTCTGTGCATGCGTGCGAATTTGTGTGTGCGTGTGTGCGCGCGTGTATATCCATCCCCCATCACCAGCGGCTGTATTATGCATTGTTGTTGGCGTGCCCTACATGCTCACCCAAGCATAGTCCAGTGTGGTACAGTACACACGTCTTCCTATCCCCGCCGTGCTACCATGACGTGTCCGCGGGCCCGCTTCATTTACCTTTGCTCCTGAATTAATGCTAGTTAACTGTCACATTAGCTCAGATCTGCCGGCCCTCGTTGTCAACAACATAAACTAACCTCGGTTGTGTTTGCTTTGATTCGCAGCACACGCATGAATTGACTTGGACTGCATGCACGGAGGCATCCTAAAGTCGCATTCACCCATACATAACCTTTATCTGAGCAAGACGCAGTGTCGCGTAAAAATGTTAAAGCTATTCACAGCGTTATGTTTTCTCAACTAAACGGGGGGGAAAAAAAAAAGTTAAATGTTAAAGTGTTTTTGAGAAACTTTTTATAAGAGTGGGGGCACACTGTGTCAGTTGAAGGGCAGGTGTTTTTGTCAGTCTTTCAATAGAGGCCTAGCTGAATGAGTGCATGTGTTTGCATGTGTTCACATGTACATGCGTATAGAGCATATTTATTTGCCCGCTGGAAGCGGGTGTGTTAAATTCTCTTAGCATGTGTGACGAATGCGGCCGCTGGGAAAAGAGCAGCGCGTTTCATGGCCTCTTATGGCCTCTCACAAAGTGAATTCTAAAGAGGTGATCGATCTGTTTGGACATGAATTCATCTTGAGTTCTGCAAATACTCCAGATATTATATCTAGTTGACATTACATCAACGCAATGCCTTTTTGTATCATCTTTTCAAATTCTCCTTGTGAATAGCTATGATACTGAATTAAAGGAGAAAGATGTAGCAAGTGCATGAGCAAGATAAAAAAAAAAGGGAGAGTATCCCCCATTCCTGTGTCTTTCATCCTAATCCATGGTCTCTGTCCAAGAAAGGGCCTCCTTTTCACTTGTCTGCCCCAAAGCCTCTTATACGTGACCCTTCTGTCTCTCCCCCCCCTCCAGGCTTTCTCCCACGGCCAGCAACCATGCACACAAACATCACATCTGTGCATTTTATGTTCTAGCAAGGGTATATTGAAACTCATAAAAAGAGACGGTAATAATTATACTGGATTATATTCTTTGTTTCCTGAAAGAACTATGCACTTTTAATTGGACTGTCATGTTGTTTTCAAGTTTAATCTCGTAGAGTGAAATGCTCTTAAAGTCCATGTAAAGTAAAAACAAATGTGTCTTGTAAAACTGACACAACACAGAAAGGACTGGTGTCAATAACCCTACCTTCAAAGTTGTGAAAAATCAAACCGGGATTTTGACTCTCAAATGCTATTGGAGCGTCCACCGAATGCACTGAAACCGCCTCCCGATCAACTGTCAAATGTAAATGAAATATCACCAGGTACTGTATGTCATTTTTTCTTATACCTACGGTACATGTTTGAAATGCGAAAATATATTCAGTGGCTGCACTATATCCCACCTGGTCATCGCGGCGCTTTCCATGCCATGATGAGGGGTACTTCTTCACTTGGTTTTGTGTCAGTGTGTGGGTCCACGTAACAAAGACCCGTCAGGGAAAGTCAGTATTGTTATGAAACAATATTTAGCATTTATTAGACACGGCGGCTCACATTACCGGTATATAGCCTGTGGCTCACACTACAGGACACACATTTGCGTAAATACTTGCTTCTGGTTACATACCCACAATACATGAGACCAGCTGACTTTTCTGCACCGGCCACTTAGATGTGGTCCGAGCAGGCAAAAGGTTTGGATCGACTTTCTGCCACCAAACTGTCCCTCTGCCAGGCATGCCTCCAACACACTCCTTCTGCTGCACCGGCCCGCCCAGATTGGAGGAGACGGGTTTGCCAAATTGGCAAAGTTGTGTGATGAGACAAAAATCAGGATCCGCAGGTATTTGCGCCACATGATGTTACTCACTGCAAAATGTATCTCTGCAAATGAGGTCTACATATTCTCAGTCTTTGCACATTTTCTCCAGTTTTCAGCAATTATTATTATTATTATTATTATTGTTGTTCAATGTATTTAAAAAGAGCTCTCTAAATTCACTTCACAGGGTCCTTAATGTTTGGTAGTTTTGAGTTCAACTACATTTTTACTTCATTTCAGTATATAGTGAAAAATTCTCTTTATAGTTTCATTGTATCTCCAGACCCAAAATACTACAAATCCTACAATTCACCGCGGTAGTTTGTGTGCTCTCATTATTTACATAAATATGCGTTCTTAGGACAGTTTGTCTCATGCATGCTTCATGATTTTTTTTTTCCTAACAGCGACCATTTGAGTCCTCCAAGGACCATTCAAAATTCATGAAAAAGGTTTTGCATCTCATTTGTATACACAGTCTCATGTGAAAATTTGTGGGTTCAATTTCATGGGGGTTTTATGCAGGTCCTCTGAGCTTTGTTTTTACGAGTTGCATGATGTTCTCAGGTTGCCAGAATTAAATCGTCCATTGTAAAATATTGTAATGTTAACCGAAATGACTGGTGGTTTGGTTGACTAATTTTAGTATATTTCACAACAACACTTATTTTGAATTAGATTATTTAACATTCAGATGGGCGGCTGAGCACCACATATGAAGAAAGAGCTGCCAAAGATGGGAAAATCATTGTCCCGCTTTGAAAATAAAATAAAAAAAATAAAAAATTAAAAAAACAAGTGAAGGTCAGAATGTATTCCTCACCACCCTCCTAGGAAAATTACTTTGCTCAATGTTATAGTTTGCAAAACTGACAAGAGGTTTTGCTTGGAGGTGAACCCGAATGCACTGCCAGGGTGACTCACGCAGCTGCTGGGGGAGAGCTAGTCTCTCATTAAAAACGACTGACCTCAATAAAGATGGACGTTTGGCACGCTGTTATGTAACTAGTGAAGATGATCCTAAGCTTGCCGTAACACTGTCAGGAAGTGTGTGCATATCGAAGGGCATATCCTATACGGGTGTATGCATATCGACTTGGTGCGCCGGTTCTGTCGAGCTGTGCCCCCAGAGTCATGCATTTTGTAGCTCAACTGAATAGCGGCACTGTATTCTAAGAACATATATAGCACCTCCACAATTGCTGTATTTATGGGAGGCCTGGAAACCACTGCTCCTATAGAATTACTGTAAGGTCTCAGAAGTGGTCACACAGCAAACATATCAGTCTGCAGCCCGAACAGAGAGGCTCTCTGTCTGCGCCGTACTGAGGGACCTGATGTTGGTTTGCACTCTGCCCAGAGTGTCCCCACCCCTGGTAAATACAGGGTTGGAGGTTTCCTCCATGGATAAAAATACACTCGCCTCTCAGCCGAGAGGGGAGTAGAGCCAGAATTCCTCCGCTGAGCCTATTGTACGCAAAGGAGCAAAAGGCAGCCATGTTTGCAAAGTTGTGAGTTCAGAGAGAACAGTTTTAGAAAGGTACAGTAAGCAGACAAATGCATCAGACTACAGTACTTCCTGTTTTGGTCTTTTGTCCATCGTGATCTGCCATACCTCATCATTTATGACATCATAAGACTGAGGAAGATATGACGGTTTCCACCAGTGCGGCTACATGTACAGGTTAGCAATCGAACTCTCGACTCAAACAGAGATTTCCTGCAATAGGTTGATTTCCAACAAGAATCAACAAGTTACGGTGCAGAAAAGGGGAGGCTGTCTTAACTGAGCCAGGTCAAGGAAATCTGGGTGACTTCCTGATTTGAGCTGAAGACACAGGCTAAAGTCTTTCTCATTGCTCCAAGAACTCCATGACGGTGGGTAGATAACAGGGAGTTGTCTGATTTATGGCTGGAAACTTGTTCAAAGCTTAATACGATCTTGCAAAACAAATAATTCAGTCTTGTAAAGTTTTCCAATTTTTACGGTAGGATGCATATGTGGCCATTGGAGCCAGATTTTAAATATGTCTTCTTTTTTTAAGGGAAAAGCAGTACCGGTATTTTGGAAACTGTGCACCACACTCAAGGCCAAACACGGAAGCGCATCATGTTGGAGGATTGCGTTTTCTCGAGTTAAATATTGAGACGGACGACTCATACAGCAAACTCAAAATGAGTCAGGAGGAACAATGTGAAGGGACCGGCCTGAAGGATGTCTTTGACATACTAGCCGGAGTCCCACCGGAGCAAGTGCTTAGCCTGACATTCCAGCTCGGTGAGTCTCCTGAAGATCATATCATACATGCCTTGTGTCTGATTATTCTACGTAAGGAGGAAAAAGCCCTTGACAAACTCCATATGCTGGTGGATAATGAATTTGCCAAGCTTCTGGCGGAACTATGGACTAAGAGCGGGTGTAAATTAGAAGGATTTGCAGAGCACTGTGGTAAATCTCTGGATTTGACGGGAGAATCTTTGGCAGCGCTGGCTCGCGTTTTCAAAATTCTGTCTGAGCACGGAATGTGTGATCAACTTTTAAGGAATCTGGCATACAAGAGGGCCCTCAGCAGCAGCAGTCAAAAAACTGAAAATCATGAGGAATTGTTGTATGATCAACTCAAGGAGGAAGCAAAAGATGTGTGTGGGCCTCAGCTAGCAGTGTGGATGTGTTCCTCTGGAAATCTCAAGTCAGGCTCTTACGATACCCCTAACAGCCAGGTCGAAGGCATTACAACACTGGTTCGAAGTCTTCCCACCACGCTGCAGTCAAGCTGCTCTGAGCTATCATATCCCACACATCTGGAGATCAGCCTGCCTCCAACGATCCCGTACGAGGGGGACACAGTAACCCCAGAAGCATCAGGAAGCCATGAACAAAGCCCTATTGACAGCCGAAATGACAGTAATTCCCCCGAGCGATCTCACCTTTCATCTGTGGAATCACAGCCAACGTCAAGTGAAGCTCCTGGACTGGAACAGTCAAAGACGGATGCGGCATCTGGAACAGAGCGAGGAAAGCATCAGGACAGGAGGTTCAACATGAAACAATCTTGTCACCAAAGCATCACGCCAACCACAGGATCAAAACCTTCACTGCCATTTTCAACAAACCAAGTTCTACCCAGAAGAACAGTCTCAGTAGGGGCCCATTTAAGTCAATTTGGAGAAGAAGAGGATGAGGTCACATTTTATTCATTTGTCATCCTTCATGCTCCGGAAGATAGTGAGGTAGCAGAAAGCATGAAGGAAAAACTGGAGACCATTATCGGTAGTAAGGGCGCAATTTTCTCTGATGACTTTGCTGTACCTGGTAAGAGCACCTTAAGGTGCATAGAGGACGCCATCAACAACTCAGCTTTTACTATTCTGCTGCTCACCCAGAACTTCAACACGCGTATGTTGGAGGTGAAGACGAACTCGGCCCTGATCAACTCCATTAATAAGCAACACAAATACAACACTGTTATACCTTTGCTACCTAAGGAGAACCGCATGCCCAGACACCGCATGCCTATCGTGCTGCAGACCATCGTTTCGCTTGAGGAGAACAAAAGCTTTGAGACCAAAATAAAAAAGGCTTTATCGCCAGCAAAAATTAATCGGCAGAGAAGCATTTGGTTGGAAGAGCAGAGAACACATCAAAGGCGACTGCCCCAAGGGTGTGAAGCAGCACACATGCTGGAAAATCTCAACTTCCTGGGCTCAGTGGACTTTTCCAGCGCGCCATCCGTTTTGCAGCAGCATCCTAACATTCATATTGAAAATGCTAGCTATGTTATGATCGGCAACGACTCTCAAATGACTGTGGATTACTGTGGCGTGAAAGAGAGAGATCCCATTGTTAGAGAAGACAGGAAATAAATAGATGGCACAATATGGGTAAAAAAAAAAAAATCATAACATCTGAAATGAGATATCTATTTTTCTAGACACTAAAAGGTTTTAAAAGCTCCTGGGTATGATTACCATGCTGTTAATCATTGCGTTTCTAGCTGTTTATACACTTAAAAAAAATCTCTAAAACTGTCTAGGAAATGCAGTCAAATGAATTGTCACTACATGGAGGGGACTGGATGAATGTTTAGCCGAAGAGTACCATCTACTGGCAGAATTGTGATTCACAGTACTGTCTTTTTTTAGACCTTACAAGTGGTTAGTTAGCATGTCTGCCTCAAGGTTCTGAGGTTGGGGTTTTAAATCTCATCTCCAGGCTTTTGAAATGCGTGTATCTTCCTGTGCTTGAATGGATTTTCCACAGGTACTTTGTATCCTTCCACATTCCAAAAGGATCCATCTTAAGTTAACTGAAGACCTACATAGGTGTGAATATGAGTGTGACTGGCTGTTCGTGTTGGTGCCCTGCGAGGTTGTGATTAATCGGTGAGCTTTCCAAGGTATAACCCCACCTCGCGCCCAAAGTCAACTGATCAAATCAAATTATTTTTGTAATTCTCACTGAGACTTGTGCACCTCTCAGCAGGTATTGGCCCACTCTTCAGTTGTCTCAGGTTGCTTTCTTCAGGTGGCATGTTTCAGCTCCTTCCACGGGTGTTCAGTACATTTCAAATCAGGGTTCATACGGAGACACTTCAGAATATTCCAATCGTTTGCGCTTAGTTATTCTTGCGTGTTTTTGGCTGCAAGTTTTGGGTCATTATCCTGACAAGACCCCTGACTTGTTATTGAGACCAACATTTCTGGCAGTGGGTAACTTATTTCTTTTTTGAAATCCTTGATAGTCTTGAGATTTCATCGTACCTGCTGCCAGGTGCAATGGCACAAAGTAGCCCAAGAACATAAAAGAACCTCCTTCATGTTTCACTGGAGGGAGGGTGTTCTTTTCTGGGAATGTTTCATTTTTGCAGGGGTACCAACAATCTTCTTTGCATGTACATTTTTAAATTCTATTGCGCTGCACAGGTGGAAGCCTTTCCCCTGTAGTATTCTTGTTTGTCATCACCGCGTTGTCTGAGAGTCGGTCAGCGCCCAGTCCGTGTTCTAATGTGAACTGAAACTGAACGATGACTGAAAACATTGGAGTTTCCCCATCAAGTGTGTCTTTTTATTTGTAATCTCAAAATTCCCTTGTGTCCCTCCGTGGGAGTAATGTTTCCATCCTTTGTGAGCACATACACCACTCACAAAAAGTTTGGCAATCGGGTGGAATTTCAGAATGAACATAAAAGGAACTATGACCTTAACAGGTGAACTTAATTTTGACCTTGTCTCATCTTTCGAATACACATGTCCAAACATTAAATGTTTTGGTGCTTTATTCACAGCTTGTTGTTCCCTAACAAGGATCTGAATGTGTATTAAAAAGTTTAGAGAAGGTCAGATTCTGTTTACGTGAAATTTCGCCTGAAAGCCAGATATCCCTAATTTTTGGTCAGTAGGGTATAAACGTGATTGGTCCACATGATTTGTGGCAAACTCAGTATATGAAATGCTAACTTATATTGCTGCCTGGTATGAAATTTGTCTGATCAACACGTGTCAATGGAAAAGAACTCGCCTGCTGCACTCTTTGAAAATTATTGCCATCTGGATTGATCCAGAGTGGGTTATTTCCTTTTTGATTTAGGGGGTCGGCTCAAATCAGGAAACTCTTTTATCAACCAACAATTGCTGAGCGTCTGCAGGAAAGAGGGGACAAAAAAAATAAAGGGTTAGGAAACAATTATAGCATTTTTCACAACTTATAAGATATACGTACAGTGGATTCATCATGGAAACTGAGTGGTTTTGTTTATTAAGTAACTTCGAAGTTACACGCAGTCACAGCCATACACACCCGCAAGGTCTTATTGCACCAAATTTACTGCTTTAAATGTTGTCATATATAAACTTCAATGAATTACCTCTGAACCCTATACACTGGGACGACACGGAAAAGCTAACTTCCGGTTCGCCTTGTTTTCTATCTACCAAGCGAATGCTCATGCTTGGAAGCTTACAGAAACCCAGAGGTTATGTTGTACTCTTCGGTTTTATTTCCAAAGTGTTACTTTAAGAATTAAGAGGGAATGAACGCAAAACGATTAATTTTAGAGTCGCTTGCTTGTGAGCTTGCCGTTGGTAACTTCCGCGTTTTTCTTATTCGGCGATGTTTATGGCTCTTTACTGCCACCTTTTGGATTTATCTGGCTCATGCATCCAGCTCTATTTTGTACAGTACGCCAAATTAAGAGGGATTTTAATACCACAGCGTGTCCAGTCGACATTTCAATATATTTAAATTCCAGAATATATGTTGTTAAAACCACGCGCAAACCTTCCAACGGGGGCGACAGGAAGCTTAAAAAATAAAATAGACCAGATGAATTATTTCTCTTCTTAATACTCAACTCAACTCAACTGTATTTATAGAGCACTTTCAAACAACCATCGCTGCATACAAATTGCTGTGCATGGAGCAATTTAACATATACAACAAACAGTAAAGCAAATCGGTAATAAAGACGGTAGAAAGCACCGAACAGCAAAAAAAAAAAAAATACATGTCCTTAATTTTCTCCAATGACAAGAACGGCATTGTTTGCAGTGCTGCATACAAATATCGCAGTGGTATTTTAAAATCGAAATGGTATTTTTAGTTTCATTAATATGTAGAGAACGAAAATAATTACAGTGGTTGATACTGAGAGCAAATATGGTTGAATGTTATATCAAAGGGTGAACTTGGGAAATGTGGGTATGAATAAACAAACAACAGCAACAAAGTCTTGGATACACGATCGAAATGAATAATAGTACTGGGTGGGTGGATCGAGCATGCGCAGTTCACTCAGTGCTCGGCTCGGTTCGGTCAAAAAAACGCAGAGACGGCTCGGTGAGGAAAGACGGAGCAAGGAAGGACAAGAAGGGGGGGAAATGAGCAACATGGATACGAACGTCCTATTACAGTAGTGTGAAAGTTTCTCCTGGAAGCCCCGTTATCCCAATGGGTGTCGTGCTTGGGAATGAGGAGATATCCAGTCAACTGCAGCACGAGGAAGGACGTGACAGTGATGTGAGTTTGGAATTGTGATCCTTCAACCATCTGAAAGCTATATTTCCCCAAGCTGCGTTTGAGTTCCAACGGACGCGATGTCACCCGTCGGGAGGAATTCCTGCGCTTGACTCGCTTCGGTTCCTCCTCGATTCTGCCGCAGTGGAGCAGAGACGATGGGAGATGCGGCGCACGACGGCGGCGTTAGGCGGACTTTCATCGTCCCTGCCATAAGGAGCTTTGAGCACTATGATTTCACCAGGGCGAAGATCTCCTCCAGCCTGACGTGGTTGGTAGCGAAGGCCTTTGGCTCGGGTAGGTGGCGCCTCCATCATCTTTTCCCATCCGTGGAAAACTGAAAACTCTTTAACCCTTACATCCTCTTTTGGTCGAAATTGACCCGTTTTGACATTTAACAGCCATACAAAATAACCGAGGTCGTTCTGCCACATCTAGATTTTTATTTTTTTGAAGGAACACATCTAAAACGTGTTACAACGTTTGTGTACACTGAGAAGTGGCGTTCCGAGTCCGAGACCCCACGTCCCATAATAAGTGCCTTGACATAGGCATGAGACCTGTACCTGGAAAAAAAAAGTGCCTGCCAAAATGCACTTTCCCTTTTCTCTGAAACATTGATTGAAGATTAATCATCCATTTATTAATGTCAGACAAGTTATGAATACATCTGCTGAGTGTCCCGCTGGATTGTGTGTAAGACGCAATTGGTCATAATTTTCCACATGGTCACATATCAAACACACTGTGACTTGTCTATTGCTAAATATTATTCCCCAATGGACAAAAACTGTAACTGTCATTGATACTGCACAATCATTTTCATCATTCATCAATGATTAGTTAACAGGAGTGTTTGTAACCATTATAGAGCTAAGGCAAATATTTTACATTCGGAAAATCCCACGGGACACCAAACAATTATATATGGCAATATAAGGCTCTCGTGACATCTCGGGTTTTCTCACAAATGTACTTACTCAAGTGTCATTCTGCACAATCATTTTCATCATTCATCAATGATTAGTTACAGGAGTGTTTGTAACCGTTATAGAGCCAAGGCAAATATTTTACATTCGGAAAATCCCACGGGGACACCAAACAATTATATATGGCAATATAATGAGGCTCTCGTGACATCTTGGGTTTCCTCACAAATGTACTTACTCAAGTTGTATAAATGGCAACAAGTGGATGCACTGGTAATTGTACCTTCTGCCATGTAGCGGAAGAACATTTTATTGTTTTGGCTGTCACTACAAACTACATCACTGGCATAGATAGATAAACAAAGCTACGTTACGGAGGGTGTAAAAGTAGTGCTTTTGGATTCAGAGAGTCCATAACCAAGGAAGTATTTTCAGCTTTCTTAGGTCTGAGGAATTATGCAATAGTCTTAATAGTTGGCAGTCAACTTTCATTGGAACCAACCGTCCCTGCACGAGTCTTTACCATTTCTTGTCACTCGCATTTCTAAGTCACTGGACTTAACTGCTTGATGTGGATTTGTGCAGTTTTTTTTTTATTGTTGTTGTTAATCCTCATGCATGTAAGCAAATGCTCATCGGCTGTGGAACTGCTCGTGGAAGCTTTAAACAGCTGTGTGCCCACTTGATCTGTTCAAACGGGCAACAAATCTGAGAAAAGAACAATCAAATGGCGCACGATTGAATGCCTCCCATTAATCAGACACTGCGTTAAACCCAGCCGCATCATGATTCCTCTTGAACAACCAGAGATCATGAACTGATGGCGCGATGAACAAGATAGACAGGGAAGGCAACATGTGAGAACACCATACTGTTGCTCTTTGAAACCCTCCTTTTGCCTCGTTTTCTTTTTTTCTCTTATCCATCTGGTGACATACTTTCCGCTCCGAGCGTTGCCAAGAACTGTGGCCCAATTCATAGCCATAACCGAGAGCTTGTGGGGCCTGGATTGGAATAAATGTTGTTTGTGTAGAGAAGACCGTTTTCAAAAATAACTACCAGTAATAGCAATAAAAGCAGATAGGACAGGGCCTCGAATAGGTTACAAGTGTGGTTACATAACAAATTAAACACCACTGTAATTTCAATTTTGTCTTTTGGATAGTATTTCCCTCCCTCTCTCTTTCTTTCCCTCCGAATGTTGTGAACTGTTTCCATGCCAGTGCTGTGTTCAGCAGAAAAAATGGAGTTGGGAATTGCTGTAGTGGCGGCGCAGCTCAACGTGCCACAGCTGACATCGTGCTCTTCTTCATTCAACCGCCCACGTCACGAAATTACATAGTTCTAGGACCAGTCATGAGTCCCTCACTTTTCCCCCGCTTCATACGGTGTCCTTGGTTGCAATTGTTCATGTTCCACTCCAGTCCAATAGGTGGCAGTGATGCACATTGCAAAGTGGTTGGCAATTGTTTCAAACAGAAGGAGCCATATTCAGCAGTTTTTGCGGTTTTCTCAGTAATAAATGAAAAATCCCGAATCTTGACCAAAATGATTTTCTATGTTGGATCACACAACATCCCTCCTTAAAGTTTTAGAGAAATTATTCAGATAGTTTTTGGTTTCTGATGGTTATGCTTGGTGCTTTGGGGGGGAGTGCTAAAGTGCAGAAAAAAATGAATGATATGCTACATTGTTCAATTCAGACAGAGCCGTGACAGTCATGTGTCATTTGTGTGCCATGCAATGATAGCAGACCTCGCAATGACCCGGGCTGGCTGTGATGTAACCAGCATTGCCGGCGCTCACTCTACAGATGCCCTTAGATGGGTGTGATGCTATTCGCTTTTATCATCAAAGCACAGAAGAGGGACAAGGGTACAAGAGTGCCACAGTAAATTTGCATTACCGTATTAACTTTACAGGGTGTCCAAAACGATTCATTGCAATAAGGGCTTGAAGCTAAAAACAAATGGCTTCTATCCGTTTCATGATAAAGTACATATCATGAAAATAGTTTACTGCAAGACTGCAGTGGATTTTTGAAAGGTTCACCGCTTTATTTTTCCACCAAGTATAGCTGCGATGTTAGCAGATAAACATTGCTGAGCTGTGTCCTGGGGGTATCCCAGGCAGCAGTCATCTACGTTCCTGGACTTCCTGTTGTAGTTACTTCCTGTCTTTTTCCTCTTTGATGGCCAACACAAAAGATATTTTCCCCTTTAGTCCAGGCAGATTTTCTTTTATATCAACAAAAAAACGTTTTCAAATATGTTCTGTAGCGTAAAGGCCACCCAGTTGCACACAAAAGAACATTGTGAACACTTAGTTTGAGCATTTTCCCTTCACAAAGGCTGGCTCTTTCATCGAGAGCTCCATTACAAACTGCTTGATGAACTCATTGAATAGCTGTGACTAGCTGCTACAGGATTTCTTATAAAGGCGAGCGTTTTAATATGCCCGCTGGTTTAAATTCTGCGCTTTTGTCACTAAGCTCAAATTCACGGAGGGGGGTGTTGGTGGTGGTGGTGGGGGGGGGGGCTGCGTTAACCACAACCACTGGAAAACGGTAGCGGTTCAATCACAAGTTGTGTTTCTTTTTTAGAACTGAACTTCTTTGCGGCAGTTTATTGGTAGGAGCAAAGAAGGGAAAATAGATTCCTTCATTGTTCTTTATTCCCGATGCATGATTCCTATGCAAGCAGAGGGAAAATTCTCACCAGGAATACACACTTAGACTAACTCGGACTGGATCACAAACTGTACATGTGCACACACAGGGCCTTGTGTGAACATAAGTAGAGGTGAGCGCCAGTGTGTGAGACACGGACGACCATGTGACTAAACAAACCGGGTGACAGATATGCTAGCGTGTGTATTGCACACTGGTGTCTGTGTGGAATGAGGATCCCGCACTGTGTGAAGACAACGCTAATCCCGTTACCTCATCACGTAAATCAGATTTGAAGAAAGGAGCAGCATGTCCTATTTTGGAACACTAACAGACATGTCATTTACAGCAATAGTCATACATTCCGGTGAAGATTTAATCTGTCGACTTGTTAAATGTTGGATGAACTCTGTGAGAGCGTTAATGTGATGCACTGAGATAAAAGAGTTTGGAAGCAGAAAAAAAAAATATTTTGCATGTATATGATACTCTGCAAAAATGTTCGGTTACTTCTATCTTTATTTAACTCTTGACAATTTCCCACAGCTGTCTGTCAATAAACGATTGGTTGACTTCAAGCTTTAAACGTTGGTGTGGAGTAAATGGTATAGGCGACTAGTTGACTGAGCGGTTCAACTCTACTCGTATGTAATATGGATCATATGTCTAAATTTGATCAGCTCCCATGATGGACTGGAGGGAAGAAGAAAAAAACAATGAATAAAATGAATATTGTAAGGGCATGTAAGAATCTTTCTCAATGTTCTGATTTCTTTTTAGCCGGTGTTGCATTGATCACATCAATGAGCCGTGAGGAGTTTTGTGAACATGTACCTTAAGCTCCCGGAGCTCCCATCATATGGTCCTTCTTTCGACAGCAAACTAGTTGAAAACTGATTCACACTTGATATGATTTGCCTCAAATCATTTTATCAGCAGCATTGTTCCCATCTGCAGTTTGTTGGTTGAATCTCTCTCACTCTCTCTTGCCATACAGACGAAGTGCCAGATGAGCTGGTGGAGCCTTTCTACAGGGACCAGTACAACCAGGAGCACCTGAAGCCACCGGTCGCCAGCCTCCTCCAGTCTGCTGAGCTCTACTGCCGAGCGGGAAGCCTGATTCTTCGAAGCGATGCCGTTAAACCTTTACTGGGTCACAACGCCGTCATCCAGGCTCTGGCCCAGAAAGGTTTATATGTCACTGACCAGGACAGGCTCGTCACAGAGAGAGATCTGACCAGCACGCCTATACTCATGGTGAGTCATCGTGGCGTGATACTGTATATTCAAGGATTACGCGTCTATTTTTGTTCTACTATTAGACTTCCCTTCAAAAAAAGAGAGAATAATTTACAGAAAAAAGACGTTTTTCATCGGAAAGGTCAAAGGTGAAATCTTAAGGAGAAAAAAATTGTGGTGACGATGTCATGGAATCTGCATTAAGCATTGAATCAGACTGTTCAAGTGCCACCAATTTATACAGTGTGAGGGAAATATTTGCGTAGTATCTGAGGATTCTTACAGCCCTTGTCAATTTCTTCTTCAAAATTGGAACGATTGTGTTTATGATATTACAATGAGCCGTTCACCTGATGAGGTTCTAAGGAGTGTGGACAGTACTTTGGCATAACCACAAGGGAAGCACATGTGGCAGAAAAGTCTCACGGTTGGCCACCATCATTTCAAAAAGTGTCTGCATTGCAGTGTGCCCTCCCCTCCCAGACTCCTCCTCCTGCCATCCTTCCCCGCCGCCCCCTCCCCTCTCTCTCTTTGACACCTGCCTCCAAATGGTCTCTGCCACCAGCCTTTCTTTAAGGACAATTCCCTCTGCAAGTGTAGCTCATCACAAACCTTAAGTTACATCTGAGCAGGAATGAGTCTTCCCACTACAACACAGGTGTCAAACTCAAGGCCCAGGGGCCAGATCTGGCCCGCCACATCATTTTATGTGGCCCGCGAAAGCAAATCAAACATGCCGACTTCCATGATGCTTGCTAAAATCTCTACCAAAGTTTAAAATTCTCATATGTAATCAATAAGAGACATCGTGTCAGCATTTTCTTGTGACCAAACCCCTCATTACAGTAACTTAAACAACAGTGGAATAAACCGTGATTATTGACTTTTTATGTGGTTTCAGTCATAATGGCCCTCCAAGGGAAACGGTAACTAAATGTGGCCCACGACAAAAATGAGTATGACATCCCTGCACTACAAGATGTAGTTTTGCCAAACAGATGTTTTGAATCTTCGGAGGATCATTCTAAATCACCGGTCAAGGACGTTTATATGTGTCCAGTGTACTGTAGGAACAATAATGTAGGCGGGGGTCGGGCGGTGGGGATCTGCTACAATGCTCAAGACCATTTAATTTCATAACTGAGAAAGTCAGAGACTAGCATTGAGTTTAGGCGACTTGGGTGTAGGGTTGGGGAATATAATCGATCTGCCTAGCTATGTGTCCTGTGCAAATGAAATTAACGAGGCAATTCCAAAATAACATCGTCAATCAGATGTCGATTTTTTCAAAGCTTTGGTCACAAAGCTTCACGAATGTTCAAAATGCTCACCAGTCACCATCTGTGATACAACAAACATTTCCCTTTTTTGCTTTCCTCTTTGTTTGTGTTGTCCACTTAGTCAAGCCAGTGTCTGTTTTCGATTGTGGATAGTTATATTTCGTCACTGTAGGGTGACCCGGGCCCAAAGCATTATTCTTTACAGTTTCTCCTTGAGTTGTTAAACATGTATACAGTATCTGCAGCTTTCAAATCCATCAGTTTTTTATTTATTTATTTTTTTATTGAATGCCAAAACCCTTGCGTTTCATTTTGAGTTATAGGCAGTAAAACTGATGACCTCATGCTTTTCCAAAGACTGTATAAGAAGAATAACTCATGTCGAGGAGCAGGAGTGTGGCAGTGAGTCAGTCAGTCGTAGGACAAATGGATGCAGAAGAAGAGCGATGGGAGGGTCGGGTTGCTGATGAGTAGAAACCGTTAATAAAAGAGCGAGATGAGGAGTAAAGGAAAAGCGTGGCAAGCACGAGGGACGCCGCAAAGGAGGAGAACATGATGTGCAGTACTGCAGCAGAGTGGAGGGTGGAGTCTCGCAGTGAGTCAACGTGTGTCTGCTGCATGTCTGACTGCCACCCCTCCCCTTTCCATGAAACACGCGTACACCGCAAAATCTGTCAGACCTTCACCAATGTGGGCATGACCTCCTCCGCTTTAATTATCTGCTGAGTGTTAAAAGACGGATATGAAAAAGAGTTAGAAGGGGGGAATAAGTAATCGAATTTGTCTGCATGTACCCTTCACGTCATGAGGGATTCCAATTGGATATTTTGTTTTTATGTTGTCGTTTGTAACTGAGCCCAGCGAGTAGGTGCAAAATTCTGCCATCATAACCCTTCCTTTGCTCTCCTGTTGTGACTACCTGTAGAAGCAGAAGACATTTTGGAGAGGGGCGGGTGGGGGCTTGGACAAGGAGGCTACTTATGTATTTGCTCAGCTGTTATTGACCTTTAAAAATACCTTTGAGCAGGGTCACGCACAAACTCACACTTACAGTCTTGCAAAAAATAGTGAGGATGAATACTGACGGTCCTTCGAGTTTGACCGCTGTGCCATTTTCACACCCTTATATGGTGTGTGCCTGTCACCAAGAATGGGCTTTCCTTTCTGGCTTCTCCACACACAAATGGACGCACGACACACAAACACAAGGCTTTTAAGTCCATGCTAGAGTTGGCAGGTGTCTGTCGACTTGACCATTAGTCGAAGTACATTTCATACAATAGGTAAAAAAAAAAAAAGACATTGTAGAAGGCTTTTTTTCCGTTTTAGGTGCTCAAAGCAAGGTCTGCAAAGGCATGTACCAATTTGATATGGAAGAACTTGACTCACCTCTGACCTAAACCCCATTTAAGCACCTCTACGACGAAACAGAAGACATCTCTCTCCTTCAATAACAGTGACTGCTGATCTCACATTATTCTGGATGAATGGACAAAATTCTCGATTTTTTTTTCTGTCAGAAGAGAGGAAACTTTTACAATTACTAGTCGTGCACAGTTAGCTGTGATGGATGGCAAAACAGTATTTCAGAGTGGCTTTTTTAAAATTTGTGTGTCTTGAATTGATTGAAAGATTTGCGTATCGGATTACTTTTTCCAAATGAGAAAAATGAGCCTCGTCATTTTCCTTTCAGATCAAATGTGTTTGATTTTCTTGTTATTATAGACAGTCATAAAAAAAAAAAAAAAGAAAAAAAAAGTGCTGCTGACATCGGGCCCTTTTTAGTCAGGTTTTGGTGTCACGTATCATACTTATTCTTCTCGAGTAGTATCCTTTGAACGGGCATATTTCTTTCTGAGCACGCTGTCTGTTTTGATTGGCAAGACGAGCATGTGGAGAAGACGTCAAGCACCACCCCAGACTCGTTGCCTTTTTGTGTTTTAGGGAAACACACTGTGCTAGCCAACAGAACAGTCGCTGGCGGAATGAGGTCTTATAGGTTACGGAGCAGCTGACTTGAGATGTTTGTTCAGTCAGGATGGATGCTTTGTGAAGCATTAAGTGACCCGCAATGTGACAGGAAAGGGAAGTGGAGGTGAAATGGCCCGCCTGGCCTGGCTGTCCTGGCCCAGAGTTAGATTAGAAAGGCCAGCAGAATGTCAAGCATTGTGTACACTAGGGACCCTATTTTCATGCCCAGTGCAAGCCCAGCACAAAGTGCAATCTAACTGTGCGCATGGGTGGAGTTTTCTTTCATTTGGTATTTTCGGAAAGGGGCACAGTTTAAAATGGGCGTTTGCACCGTGGTGGGAGTGAACACACCTAATTTTATTCCCGGCCAATCATTCCCTTCAGTGCAGCGCAGGAGAGGCACGCATTCTACCTGGTGGTAGTATAATAGACTTGCTGAAATCCGTGCATGAGATCAAAGTGTGCTAAGCAGGTTTATATGGAACTGCAAGACGATCTCCACTTGCGGATGATGTGAAGTTGGCCGCTGCAAAGTACCTTCCACTCCCGAGCTTATGTCTATGTGAGATAAACATTAAACTACTTTAAAGGTCTACGTCTTTTGTTTTGCATGAGATATCTTCAAGAGCTATCCCCAATGACAATATCTGATGTTTAGGCTACGTTTTTTATATATATATTTTTTTATTATTACATTTATTAAATGCTATAAATGCCATCCTAGATTTCGACATAGTATGACTTCTGAAACAAAATGGAGTCAGGCCTTTCCCAGTTTGATTAGTTCAGAAAAAATATGAAATTGAAATGAGTTATACCGTCCGTCCCTGTGTACAATTACGCAATATCATGAGACTTTTAGGTAATTTGACACATCTCTGTTGGTTCTCATGAGCAAATTAGCATGAGTATACTTGATTCATGTTTCTCCAGACATCCCACTTGGCACTGATAGACACGCTGATGATGGCTTACACGGTGGAGATGATGAGTGTGGAGCGGGTGATGTCCTGCGTCAACAGACATTGTTCCGCAGGGCCCTCGCACATCGACAAGCAAGTCCTCGAGCAGCCTTACGACACGGAGGATGCCATCACCATGTGGCTCAACAAGGTAAGACGTTCAGACCCTATTCCGCCTTTGTCAATATTAATGTTTGTGCCATGATAATTGAAGAAGCAGTTAGGTTCACATTTAATTATATCAGAGAGCTTATGTAGCACCAAATGACATTAGCCTCTCATTTCCGCTTTAGTGTGCCTCGTTGTCACATAACGGAAAAGGCTATCTTTTTGCGGCTCAAACCTGTTATTGTGTGTCGGCATAAGAAAGATGCCAGATGAATAGTGTCCATTTTTTTCCCAGATCAGAGCAGTGGTATTTGATCGACATTTGAGCAAAGCGAGGTTGCAACGCATTCAGCAAACCCTGCCATAGCAACTGAGACCAGAGAGAACGGCTTGATTTCACAAACGAATAATCATCAAACCACATTTTCTATACTTCAAGATTTGGTTTTTATAATTATTTAAATTTGGCAGGGTTAATAACCCTCTTCCCTGCGATGTATCCAAATCTAAAGCCATTAATTTTCACTTTACACGGACTTGAAGCTTCAAGAGCATTGTTGTGTCTCTGAGTACATCCTCACACTGGTGCCTCGCCTCTTTTAGCACGGCATTTTTTTATTTGAAATACACAAAACACCAGTGGATGTCTGTAAATTGTACAAGAAATATAATATAAATTCTGCAGTCCTCATGATCGCTCATTTCATGTGATCGCTGTTCACATTGTCTCGCCAAAGGCAAAAGGACTTATTTGTAGATGTTCAAACACATGCTGGATTGTTTTCATTTTTCAGAAATTGCACTGCATGCTTTGGATTGGCTGATTAATTCCTGCATCCCCAGGCCAAGATGTTGCATCACAGTTTATAGTTTATATGGAACCTTTTAAGAGTAAGGGCAGTAATTAAAGGTGGTGCTGAAAGCAAAGTGTCATTTTATGTGTGGGGGGGCTTTTGTTCCTCTCTTTCAGTTTTTCCCACCCCTCAACACAAACCCACCAACAAGCACATCACCGGTAGATGCCTTTTTGAAATTTGACCTTTGTTATGCGATCTCTGTTGCTCCACAGGTGAATGAACACCTGAGGGACATTCTTGTTGAAGAGCAGAAGTTGAAAGAAGGCTCCGATCAAGAATCAAATTCGACGCCCAAGGTAAAACCAAATCAAGACTAGGAAAGGTTCTTTATAACTACTTGCCCAGTTTAAATTTTCAAGAACAAGAAAATAAGCTTAGCCTTAGCATTATGATGAACAAAACTCAAATTTTCACATTTTCTCATTTAAATAAAGTAAAAGTTCACATTTGTCTTCAGTCTTTACGCTAATCACACACGTCAATAGTTATAATATTGCTTTCGTTCACATTTTTCATGCACCTGTAGTATAAGACCTCATTGAATTCTTCAAAAGTGAGTTTTTTTTTTTTTTTGACTGAAGACAAGAGGCTTTTCTATTATTTTGTCACCTCGCCGAATACCTGTACTAAGCATAACATTTACAGTCGTAGTGTCATGTTTGCATCTATTCAAGAAACCCAACAGTACTGTATGTGGCTCCCACAGATCTGTCTGCTAAATAGGCAATGACAGATGAACCGCTCAGTCATGCCCCAGCTGCAGGGAAATGTTGGCACGAGCTGCAGCATTGCTGTCAGAGTGGACAAAGATGGGAGAGGAAGACAGAAGGGGGGAAAGTGAGGACAGGCAGTCAGAGTGAGGGAGAAAAATGTGGGAGACAGGGATGGGGCTGCTCAGTCAGAATAGGCCTGGATGTTATATAAGGATCGTATGACACAACAAGCACGTGGAGAGACAGATGCACATTTCCACACTCAAATATACTGCGACGTGACGACAGTGCCTAATTAGGTCAACTAATCCGTGTTTCGACTAAGTGAAACAATTCAGCTCCGCTCACAAGTGACACAGCAGCACAGCAGTGTTTTAGGGCGGAAATTAATCTGCACGCAAATGTACCTTTGTGGTTGGCCGGCTCCTTCTGTACACAAGCATTGTATGTGATTGACAAAGCAGGTTTACTCAAATGTATCCAACCTAACTGTTTTCACTTGTTATTATCAAAAAAAAAAACAAAACATTGAGACTCATATTTGTCCCCCCTTCCCCCCAAAGCTGTTGTCCTGTGTGACGTTACGCTAAATGAACGAAAGTATTTTGACACCTACCGAGAGGGAAAATGGTCGAAAATGTGGAGCTGCAGCTTCCTCTGTTCCGCCAAGTCTTTCTACAAGATGTTTGCGTGTGTCTGTGGATGCGACTCGTTTGTTTGATGGGGTTGAGGTCCGGGTTCTCAACTCCTTCCGCATCAAATTTATCCAAGCGTGTCTTTAAAGACCTTGATTTACCACGCATGTTAATTTGCATATTACAACAATGAGCGAGGGTGACGTCTTTTTAAAGTGTGCTCACTCACTCTCTGCTGTGGGAGCTCGAACAGACAACAGACGTCTATTCATTGAGCTGGATACACTCGGAGGAGCCAATTTGACACACACACACACACACACACACACACACACACACACACACACACACACACACGCGCGCGTGCAGGAGCACAAGACACTGTCTATTCTAGGATGTGTGAATAATCATTAACAGAGGTCTTATGACTAATTGCAAAAGCACGTTTGTGGGCGGAGACTGTGAGAATGCTTAGACCAATTATGACAAATTCACTCCGTATTGACATGTAATTCTTGCTCAGATCGAGGTTAAATGTCAACGTTGATATTGTGATGGCTGGATGAATTTTGACCTATTTGTGAATTACTGTATCTTAGTTTGTGCAGATCTGCCTTGTGTGTCGATCACGGATTAGCACCAAAAAAATTGATGGATGGATGGATGATTTTCAAGTTATGGGAGCTTTTGTCCCTTTAGTGTATACAGCATCAGAACCTGCCTGTTACTAGCTCTAATACCACTCTCTCCTGTTGTTGTCCAATCATCCTTCACCATCAAGTCTTCCAACAAATGGTACTGGAGACTTGTACCTGTAAGTCCATTCAGTCATAAAACAAACTTCTCCCAAAACCTTGTATCTAACCAGAATCCTGTCACATTTGCCCTTCTCCATCTCCAGTCCTCACTGCATGCAGCCTCAAACCATATCCCCAGATTTAAGTATAATTGATCTGCATTTGGTGGATGAGACAGAGAATGTGCCGTAATGAACGATGCAGACATGACTCTGCTAGTCTGTGTTTGTAGCTAAACTGGGAGTTTGAGACAAATGTAGTAATGCTGTCTTTGGGGATTGATGTGGCCCACAGGCAGGGTGACTCAGAAAATATCTGCAGTTCGGAAGCCTGTTATTCAGCTCTAACGCTTAAGTGCCGTCTACTACAGCAGTGTTCCCCAACCTTTGTTGGAAAATCTTGTGGCGCACTACTCCCCAGCCACAAAAAAGTCACAAAAAGTACTATGCATATGTACTGAACCGATGATCCTCTCCCCTATGTACCTACTAATTTATTTATGCAGTCTGAAATTATGGCCAGTTTAGTTCAACGCAAAGCTACTATTGTGTTGTTTGAGTGGCAACAGGTGAATAGCAGGTGAATTGGACCTTTCGCCATCCAGTGGCGGAGTATTTTTAATCGTTCCGCCTGTCACAATACGTCGCTGGTATAGACAGATGAACAATATACATTTACAGTAAATGCAACCATATTTTTGACGAATGAAGTGACATTGTGAAAGGTGAAAGATGTTTGACAGATTTGTTAGGATTAATGCTGCCACTTGCATCTGATTATTTGCATGTTTAATTGGTTGGACTTGCCACCCTGTGCTTCCCTCCCCAATTTGTGTGCATGAAAAAAAAAAAGCGCTGTATATAACCAGCCCGACGAGACATACAGTACCATATTTATGACATTGTCTTTGTGTCAATGACATGGTTTCAGGCTCGCTACAGGAGGGCGCATGCCCAGCAGAACAGTGCACCCTTGCTCCCCCTGGTGGACAATCTGCTGAAGGACAACACAGATGGCTGCGCCCTGGCGGCTCTGCTGCATTTTTACTGCCCACGGGCTGTTCGATTAGAAGGTAGGGGTCCACATGTTCTCTGCGTAGGTTTCGTTGTTGTTTTATCGCACTAGAAAACGATGAGCAAATCCACTAAATTGACAGACAGCTACACACAAGCGATCAAGCCGAAAGCAGCCTGTTGGAAGTTGTGTGTGTGTGTTGACCGAAAGCAGTGACGAAGACGATGACCTTAAAAAGACTGCAAGGCAGGAAGGAAGGAGGAAAAACAAAGGCCATTTTTCTCTGCGCTTGCTTTGCGCTAGCCATTTCTAAAAATGCTCCGGGTTGGGCTGTGATTGGTCACAAGGGCTGTGTGACGTAGGAGGACTCGCCGGCTGCTATTTCAAAGATAAACAGCTCAAGCGTCTGTGCTCTGAGCGCTCTCACACATGAGTGCACCAGATGTGAAAGTTGGCTAAATTTCTCATCTCAATTTAAAAATGTCATACATATGTTTGTTGACAGTTTGTTCCAGTAAAAGTTAAACTGAAAGAAGTTTCGTATAGGCGCACAAGTCTTGATGAGTCATCTAGTTTCAAGTTTGTCATGAATTATTTTCAGAAAACTGAGGGCAGTTTGAGCAACTGACTTTGTTTACTTAAATAAAATTCTCCATCAGATAATTTTGCTCACATTAAGTAATATTCATCATTCCATTCCACTTTTCTTGTTCTTTTTAAACCCAGTTTTGGCACTATAGGAAATATTTTCTGCAAACATAGCCTTATCTTTCCCTCGTCTTCCTGTCACCCTTCCCCGCCCCCGGCCGAGCAGATATCTGCCTGAAGGAGATCATGTCGCTGGCTGACAGTTTGTACAACCTGCAGCTGGTGCAGGACTTCTGCAGGACTAACCTGAACCGCTGCTGCCACTTCAGCCTGGAGGACATGCTCTACGCGCATGCATCCATTAAGGTAGGCATTCCAGATGAAACTGGTCTGGATAAATTCCTTGTCTTGTGTGTTTCGCCAGATATGATTATTTTTTTGCCTTGAATTATGAGCAAAAATCTGCGAGCAATGTATGGTGGCAGTGAACGCAACTCTAGTCACTTAACAACAAGCAGCCTTTTGGCAGATAGTGAACCATTCTTCAAAAGGGGCTTCAAGCTGTTTCTTGCCAGTGGCTAAATGAATTTTTCTGGCTCAGGCATACTGAGGAAGGCATGCGCTGTTAAATATGCCAAAAGCACTGTACCCCAACACTGCAGGCAACTGCCGCCTCCCTTGTGAGACAGCCGTCAAAAAAACTATAGGCTGGACACATTAAAAAGACATGAGGTGACGACCATTGACAAAGCAGCCGATAGAGAAGAAGTGAAGGAAGATGGTTAATGGTATTTCAATCGTGAATATTTGACAAATGAGTTATGAGGGTGGTCACGGAACAAATGAAATTGACCTCAAGGCACCACCGTAATAAGTGTATGTAGAAATGTCAGTACTGTATAAAGATGCATACAGGAGTATAAGAGTTGTCAATGTGTAAAAACAGAGTTTAGAATTAATTCAGTGAATAAACTTATTTGTAATGATTGAAGCTAATGAAAGGGACGATGCAGAAATGGATGCTTAGTGAATGTGGATTCAGCTGAAAGGCATTAAAGAAAAGTTGTTTTGGAGAATGAAGAGAGAGAGACACAGCGGGATATTACCAATAGGGGAGAATGAGTCATGCAAGGAAAAACTGTCATGCACTAGTACGTGTCGCAGGGCTGACTCTGAGTGGAGTTGTTATTGTGTGGCGGATCATCCGCATGCAAGGACGGTAGAGACATTTTTGTTGCTAGAGCGAGTCTTGTCGCGCCGCCAGACGTAATGAATGTGACAGTCTGTGTGTGACCGGGAGCATCAGTAGAACAGAGGGCAGACCAGTCCTGGCCTGTCTCTGCCTGCCTCTCTTGTTTGCTCCCCTTGTCATCCCCGCTGCTTTGGTATCACAACAAAATCATGGGGACTTAACACACGATACAACCATCAATTGTCGCTATTGCCAATCAACGGCAACTTGCTGTGTAATAGGATCTCTGCGGCGTTGAAACAGGACGAAGCCGCAGTCTTTAGCGGTTCAACAGTGCGTAGCGAGTGTAGGCGGAAACATTCCAATTGTAGGCACAGCTGACTTTCGGACTACAAAACGTCACTATTGTGATTTCGCCAAAGTGTGTTTATTGATTGGTCTGCAACATGCAACATTGCTTTTCACTCTCACGTGATCGGGACTTTCTTTTGTAACTACTTTATGTCCGGACCAGTTATTGCTGCAAAGGGTGGCACAGTAGTAGTAGATAGTAAAATTGGTTTGTGTGTGATAAATATGCCAAGAACATAGAAATCAGGGATGGGGAAAACACTTTTTTTTTACAGCACTGTAATAATATATAAAATGCGCATTCCATCTCATAGTGTATTCTGACATACAATAATGTGCCTGTGTGTTCTTGCAGAGTAACTACCTGGTGTTTCTGGCTGAGCTCTTCTGGTGGTTTGAAGTGGTCAAACCCTCGTTCGTACGTCCCAGAGTCTTTGACCCGAATGGTATAGTCCTCACCTTTACCGATCGACACCAATAGCAACAAGTTATTTGGTCAATGAAATCGTGTAAACTAATTGTAAGCTCTCTAACTCCGCAGCCATTGACCCTGTAAAATCCCGTCGAAATATGGCTCCTGTGTCTAAGCAGAACAATGTTGACATGCCTGATAGCCCGGAGGATGTCTCTGAGGAAGGTATAAATTGCATCATATATATAGAATGGGGTAGAATGCATATATAAACTCGCTGAAACATTTGTCTTTCTTTCTGAATTAGGTGTAATGAAGAGATCTACCTCGATGTCCTTTGTGGACGGTTGTGTTGGGACTTGGCCACAGGAGAGACGGTTTGTACCTCACTTCCGCACCTTCTGTACTAAAACACCGATTTGAATAAATAACTAATTAAAAAAAAAAAATCTTCCCTCAGCTCTTCCACACGCGGAATCTCCTTTGAGATTCCTCTGGATGGAGACGCCACAGTGCCGTCCTGTGAAGCGCCCGCCCTCCACAGGATGACCCGCTCTGCCAGCAGCGATGGTCTCGGGTTCAGACTTCACTTTGCACCTCGAGGTGGCATGAAGCGCCATGTGTCCCTCATGCCAGTCAATGTGAATGGACAAAGTAGAGACATCACAGAAGATGAGGAAGACTTCACTCCCCGCAAACCACTGGGCAGGAACAACACATTCTCAATCAAGAATCAAAGCAGGTGCTTAAAAATATGAACCCAGACATTAGTGACCCCTGATTTAGACTCATCGATGAACCTAACATGCATGTTTTTCGAATACCTGAAGTTGTGCTGCCTAATACAAAAAAATCCAAATTAATAACTTATCATGAATTTTCACAAAAATATTGAACGAAATTTAGTCAAGCGTCGCCGGTAAGCTTTGGGACCCATGTATAAAGTCTCCAAAGCTTTAATGAGTCATCTGCCCTGACCCTAGGCATCCCAATGGAGTCCTCCCTGACACCAATCACCACGGTAACCACAGCGGCCACATCAGTCCCTCGACCCCTCCGAGCATCGAGGAGGCACTCAAAATTATCCACGACACCGAAAGGCCCCACGCCAGCCTGGGCATGGGAGACAGAGACAACGGCTTCTTTCTCCATGATGCTCGACCTTCAGGATCTTCGGGGGCGGTGGGTCAAGGAGTCGACCCGGGTGCAGCTAAGGCCCGGTTCAATGACCGCGACTCTAATTCGCTCTCAACCGACGACACTGGGATCCACGTGAAGACAGAGGAAATCCAAAGCTTGGATGAGGACTCATCTCTGAGAGACTATTCAGATATAGACCCAGACTGTGAGACCGTGACGCGCTCTTGCCCCCTTCCGGAGAGGAACTGGGAAGGCCGGCGTAAAGGGGTTGGTGAGTCAAACCCCGGCAGAGGGGATGGAGAAGACAGGAGTTCAGCTCCCACGCTGCCCAGATCTCACACCGTTAGCCCCGCCTCATCCTGCTCCGGAGGCGGCATGGTGCGCATGACCAGCTTTGCCGAGCAGAAGTTCAGGAAGTTGGAGGGAAGGAGCAGTGGAGGAACCACCCCGGAGAGTTCCAATGTCAACACGCCATATAAACCCCCAGCAAGGAACAGTTACTCACAGGTTTGCTGTCATTGTGATGATCTCATCTCAAACGACTTACAAAAAGTCTATTCGTCAGTGTGAAATGTGGGCCTGTTTAGTTGAGCACAAAGTTATTGTTCGGTTGTACCGACGGCAATACAACACGTTTATTGGACCTTCTGCTTATTCTGATGAACAAGATGCCTTGTTCTGCCTGCACTATACATCGTTGCCGTGTATAAATGAACAAAGATACATTATTTAAGAGTAAATCGTTTTTGGAACAGTTAGTGACACACCTTGGGAATCACTGGCTTGCATTCATGTAATTTCTCCCTGCCTTTTGTTTAGATCGGAACACCCCCTTTGCCAATCACATCACCGTCTCCAGTCACGCCTTCTCCCAAAGATCCCTCCCACCTGATTGCCTCCGAGATGATCCAGCTGAGGATGAAGCTGGAGGAGAAGCGCAGAGCCATCGAAGCTCAGAAGAAGAAAGTAAGAAAAGAAAAAAAAAGGCATTTCAAATGGGCACCGTCCTCGCTGGCAGGAGTCATACGATCCTCTGCGCAGGTGGAGGAAGCCTTCACGCGGCACCGTCAGAAGATGGGCAGAACAGCCTTTCTGAATGTAGTGCGAAGAAAAGGAGTCACGAGTCCGCTCAGTCCCAATTCCAGCGGAGCGCAAACGCCTTCGACAAAGACGCTAAGCAGCCACGGCAGCATGGAGAGGGCGGAGAGATGCAAGCCTGATGGTGCGGCTCCCAAATCTCCCTGTGAAGATGGAGGTGGGAGGCAACCAAGCATTATCACGAGCTAGCTTTTGAGTACAGTGATCCACCCAGTGTAATGCTCTACATAAAATGTTGCAAATTGAGCTACTGAGAATGGAATGAGCTAACACCATTTTCGACATGGTTAAGTGCAGGGAGAAGGCATCTTTTTCTGATGAACGCTGGTCGAAGTCGAGGTTTAGTTGCACTTTTGAAAATCTGGGAGCAGTCCATTATCACTCCCGGCACTTAAGTTTGTATGCCAGTGTATCTACCGGTACTTGTTAGTATAAGTGACTGTTATTGATCATCTTTCATAAAAATATTGATAGATTTGACAGATGTTCAGACACGCTGGCAATAAACTCTTAGCGGCAGCCATTTGGCGGTAGCCATTAAACTTTAAATAACTGTCCAGCAAAATGAGAGCATTTGAATGAGCTCACTCAGGCTCTCCGGGACTCGTTTGTCTTCAATTTTGTTGATGCTGAGGTATTGCAAGCGAACCACTTTTTTTAAAGTAATTGAACAGAAGTCAAACAAATTATTTTCCTGACTTCTGATTTCAAGTATAGAGGTAGGTTTTGGGGGTTTTTTTTTGCGCTAATCGTAACTCCTAACGCTAACCCTTGTAGGGGTTACACTGTAATATGTAAAGGTGATGATACATTCATAAAATTATCATTTCAATACATTACAGTTTTTCGATGGAGGAAAAAAAAAATCACTGAAGATCACATTGACCTCTGCTACAGTATTTTCGCTCAGAATCTCATCCATGAATTGCAATGATGCAACCGACGCCTAATTCTGTATGTGATGCTGGTTTAACCCCAGGGGAGTCGGACCTTGCAGAGTACACTCGCTCAATTGAGAGGCTGAACACGTCACTGGGCTTCCTGCAGACGGAGATGCAACGACTGGCTCAGCAGCAGGAGAGGATCATGTCCATGAAAGAACAACAGCAAAAAGCTTGGGTCATTCCTCCCCCTGCGCCATCACCACACAGGTAGCCGAAACGCCGTGCACCGCACCAATGTGGTTGCTGCCTCAATAAGACGGTGCTGAAAGTTCTTATTTTGTTGTTTTACTATGGAGCTATAATATTGATTTAGATGCCATTCATTGACAATGGAAACCAAGCTGCTTGATGAAATGGTCATTTTTTTTTCCTCCCCAGGCAGCTCCGTGAGTTGCGCAGCAGCAGTGTCACGGGCCGAGCGTCAGCCAGAGGATCGGTGGGTTCCTTGTCCCCCGTTTTGTCCTCGTCAGGTTCCGCCAATCCCGTCAGTCGTCCCTCTGCCGGCCTTAAGCGACGGCCCGCCTCATTCCACGCCAGGACACCTCGGACACCGCGGCCGAACGATCTAAAGATCACACCCATCAACCGAATGCTCAACACCCCCACGTCAGTGGACAGCTTGCCGAGACTGAGGCGGTTCACGTCGAGCCAGACGCACACCAGCTCATTTGCATACCTGAGCTCCGACGAGGGATCCAGGAATAGCAAGAGCTTGGAGACCAAGGAGAGCAAAGAAGACTCTAAGGGCAAAGAAGAGGTGGTGGAGAAGAATTGTGCTGGCACTCCTCCACCTCCTGCAGCCAGAGAGAAAGAAGAAGGATCAGGAGAGCCAGAAGACAGTCGGCGGAGAAATGAAAAGTCGAGGACTCCAGAGGTCTTGTGTCAACCCACGTCTGAGATCCAAGGCAACAAACACCCTCAGGAAAAGAGAGAACTAGTGAAGGTGACGCTGTCTGGACTCTGGACTCCAGAGAGCCAAGCTCAGGAGACAACTGGAGAAACTGGAGAGGACCAAAAGATGTGCTGTGGGTTCTTCTTTAAGGTCAGTTGTGCCAACAATCCAAATCATTTATAGATTTCATGAAGTGCAATACTAGGCTTCAACCAGCAGAGGCGCTGTTGACACGGTCTCAACTTGTTTGCTGTCTGAAGCTTCGTATGCCGTACCCAGGTGAAACCATTTCTCTGGGTAATGTTATGCTCAAAGCAACACTGGTAGTGAAATAGGAGTAGTGTTCTCTGCATCGCAGATTTTTTATTTTTTTTTGTACATCTACTATTATTATGCTTATTATGCTGAGAATGTTTTTCCCCATTCGTCTAACACCAGGATGATGCAAAAGATGAAGAGGACATGGCGGCAAAGAAAGCAGCTCTCCTGGAGAAGAGGCTGAGGAGGGAAAAGGAGGCACAGGAGAAGAAGCAACAGCAGGAGCTGGACCAGGAGCAGAAGAAGGAAGCCGCTCGGTCCGTCGCTTTCACTATGTTTTCGTTTTGAAACCGTTTTTATATACATATTTTACATGACAAAAATCTTGTGGAAAAGCATTTAATTGTTCTGCCGCTTACTATATGTCACTGGCATAGATAGATGAACGATCATAAACAAAATATTCTGACCAGTTAAGTCATATTTAGCTAATTTCCGACACCACACGGTGGTTGTAATTACTGCGTTCAAGTATCTGTTATTTTGTTTAACTTCGGGAACCGTTCCCGTCCATTAGGTTGAAAGCAGAGGAAGAGCAACAGAAGAGGGACGATGAAAAGGAGAGGAGAGAATACATCAAGAATGAGTATCTCCGGAGAAAACAGCTCAAGCTGATGGAGGACATGGATCAAGTGGTCAAGCCCCGATGCGGAAGTCTAAAGAAGAAGCCTCGCCCAAAGTCCATTCACAGGGATGTTATGGAGTCCTCCACTCCCCCTGTGAGAGGAACAGGTGGGTGATGTGCAAATCCCATGCAAAAAATAAAAATAAAAATCATAACCTGTGTAATATTGTGCTGAAGGGGTGCGTCCTCGAGGCTACTCGGTGTCTAGCGTTTCTTTGGCCTCGTTGAATCTGACTGACAATGAGAGCAACCATCAAGATAACAAGAAGTACTACAGGTAAAGCCCTTTCTTACTCATTTGTGAATATTGTTGTTGAGAAGATCGTCCAGGTTTCGGGGGAGGGGAAAAGTTTTATTTTCCTAATATCAGGTCTTTCATATTATAAAATAGGACCGTGTTCTCAATGATGTACTGTGACTTGAGGCATTGTCTGTTATATGTTTTACACATTTTTGTTGTGTCCTTGTCTCCTTTCCCTCTATTGCATGCTTCCCTCAGAGGCAATAAAGTAGCACCTTCTCACGTTCCGTTCTTTCTAAACTCTCCTAAAGAAAGAAAAGGAAGGTCAGTAGTCATACGAACTTCATCAACAATATTTTTCTTTCCTCGTTTCTATACTGGCTGCATTTCCAACAGACGCCATGATGCCACCGCTTAGCTTGACTCAACTTTCCTTCCGGTCCAGAACTGCACAGCTTTGTAGGACTCTGTGATGTCGGCGCACGGGCCGATTGCCATCGCATCATCCTCATCTGTGCAATGTGTCCGTACGTACCTTGTGTACCGTATACCCCAATCATTGTCCGTCTGTTGTCATCTACAGGCCTGAGTCGTCTGAGGGCTTCTCCTCGTGCCCCTCTGCCGGTAGTCGTAACGGAGAGAAGGATTGGGAAAATGATTCAACCACTTCCTCAACTCCGTCCAACACTGAGTACACAGGTATTGGACATTGTGTCTGTTCGCTTTAAGGGATGTTGACTCAGCTTTTACTTTTTTTTTTAAATCAACTTGACACTCTGTTGTTGCACTCCAGGACCCAAACTATATAAGGAGCCCAGTGCTAAGTCCAACAAGCACATCATCCAGAATGCTCTGGCCCACTGCTGCCTGGCTGGAAAGGTCAACGAAGGGCAGAAAAACAAGATCATTGATGTATGTTTTATGACGTTTTCTTGTTCTACTTCCCCTTTTCTCAAACAATTCAAACATCAAAAAACACATTTCAGGACATGTAGGAAAATGCTTTCCACATTCCAAAAACTACCAGTGTCAGCTCTTCAGCATTCATGTGCAATTTTGACAAAATTGCATTCTCTTGTCCTAAAATAACATCTCACTGTGACGTTTTTGCTCTACTCCCTTTGCAGGAAATTGAGAAATCCGAAGCCAATAACTTTCTGGTGTTGTTCCGTGACACTGGCTGCCAATTCCGATCGGTGTACGCCTACTGTCCCGAAACGGAGGAAATCACGCGGCTGGCCGGGATCGGGCCAAAGACCATCACCGGCAAGATGATCGAGCGCCTTTATAAGTACAACTCGGACAGGAAGCAGTTCAGCCAGATCCCAGCCAAAACCATGTCAGCCAGCGTGGATGCCATCACCATTGCCAGTCATCTGTGGCATATCAAGAAGCACGGCACGCCCAAAAAGATGCACTTAAAGTAGCACCAGCGAGCAACAGTCTCTGGAATATGGAGAGCCGTTTGAGCATTTGTTCGATATCCTTAGTATCCAGGTTGAGGTCCACCTACTAGAAGCCTCTTTGTCCTCATTAGTCAGATAATTCCGTGCATTAGTAGAGAAACTTTCTTCAAAAGGTAACATTTTTTTCCACTGCAGTGAATTTGTCTACTTGCAGATTTTTGGGAGAGACTCGTTCACTGTCTTTGTGCTCAGACCAAAGCCATGTCTTGTAAAAAAAAAATATATATAGCTTTTATGCAATCTTGTGCCATGTTGGGGGCCAAGGAATTATGTAGGTGAGGGGAGGAGCTTCATTTCGTCAGGCCATAGCCTTGTCTAGTTGTTAAAAGTGCTTTGTTGCCATCTTGTGGCCTCTATATGCAATTGCAAACCTCTTTGGGTGGGTGTCTACTCGTCGATACTGCCTTTCAAAACAGTTTAACATCTTTGCACACGAGTGGGACAACTTTGGCATGCTACTAGTTCAACTGCATGTTACTAGTGAGGCAAAATATTGCACATGTTGACACCTGCGTTCTACTGGTACTGATAGTGATGCACTAGATATTAACCATAAAAATTTTATAATGTCACTAGTTTTGCCTCACGACTAGTTTTGCCTTACTCCTGGTTTACCAAAGTTGTATATGAATTAAATGCTCAAACCGCTTTCCATACTGGAAACACTTTCAATTCTGAGATCACAACTGGAATGTGGAAGACAAATGAGTACAGGACTTCAACAGCCACCATCTTTTCCTCATGTGCCAAAACAAGACGAAAACAGGCAACTGACGCCTCGATGAAACTCCGAAGTGAATGTCCAGCCTCCCAAAGAGGCAGCGTGGATTCTATGAGCTGATCATGTGCGGCCTTAATGCTTGTTTTGTGTCACTGGGATGTGTTGTCAATGATCATGTCGTTTTTGTCAGTGTCTGTTTGAGTTCACATTGGAAGCAGGCCATGCAAAGGGCCCGCCTGTCTGATCGGGGATCAGATAGAGGCAGCCTGTACGACTGTTGCTATACAGGCATGTTTTTTTTTTGTTTTTTTTGGTATGTGTTTCAAGTGCCAAGAAGAGTATTTGCCATTTCCAGTAATCAACAACCCATTGTGGAATTCACCAGTAAAAGACTCTTTATTTATTTCAATTGTTATTACGCGTCCAACATAATATAGTTAATGTCTTAAATTTATTTGTATATCATTGCAAGTGAATTTCTAGCAGCTTTTGTGTAGCTTTTCTAATTTAACATCCATCTGCATTGTTCCTATGTGTTCAATCGGGGCCTTTTATTAAGTCACAACTTTTTTTTTCCATCATTATTATTATTATTATTTTCTTTTATTTTAAAATCCAAAAAAGCGTGCTCCATCATCAATATCACTAACTGACAAAAATCCCTTCTTGTCCAATGGGAACATACGATCACAGTGTTCTCTTAGATCCTACTGTCCATTGTAAATATTTGTTTATTGACTTCTTTATCCTCAAGTATGCATTAGCACTGTACAGATGTATTTTGGCATACAGTAAAGTATTTTTTGAAACAAAATTTAACATTTGAAGCTGTATACGGATGAAACGGTGCGTTGAAGGAAGGTGGAGCAGATGTGTTGTAAAATGAAACAGGAAGGGACTGTATGAAATATTTTACAGAGACTGAAATAATGATGACACATCATCAATCCTATTTTTTCCAACCTGTAATTTCCATTTTACTTAATATGCTGAACAAACCTTGTACATTTGGTGTGTTTTTCCCCTAGTCTTTGAGCTTTATTAAAATGCAGCAACTTTCAATATGAATGGTGCGTCATTTGCTCCTTTAATTTCCTATTTTAATGATGTTATGTGTGAGTTTTTCTACATAAGCCACTTATGATCTTTGTACAGTTCAGTTGTTTTTTAACTTTTAAACTCAATACATTTGCATTTGGTCGTTAAAGAAAAACATCTATTTTGACATAATTTTAATGTGACTAATGTGCAGTGTATTTTGAGTCATTTAAGTACAGTTTTCCCCAATATTCAAGTCCCATTCAAACTGCATAATGTGAGAGCGGTTTGCAATTGTAATTATATTAAATACACTTGGGTGTAAAACCTCCGTCTAACTTTTGATGAGTACTTGGGCGTAATAGTTGTTGTATTTTAGTAGGTCATCATGGTGGTCTTTGAAAAACGACGTTTTTTTTAGGTGGCAATTTACTTACATTTTTTTGACAATGGCTGCCTTGGAGATCACTGTTTAGTGTCTCATTGTCACCATGGCAACACCGATTTTTTTTTTCAACGTTATTATCACATGTTATGATGAGTAATTTGATTATCTACATGCATTGTTCCCTTTGGGTGGAGGTGTGTTGAAGCAGTGACCATGAAGGTCGCACCAGGCTGGGCTGGGCCGGGCGCGAGCGACACATGCATCAAACCCGGAGGAGGGGGGTCACAATCGGCTTGAAGTAGGAGGACGTGACGGTAGGGAGACCGGACGCCCCCAGTCAAAAAAACAAAAAAAACAACACGGAGTGCCACCGACGTGACAGCGTGCGTTCACGTCACGGAGACACGGCGGCTGTGTGTTTTCAACCCATGTTTTTCTCCTAACCGGTGAGTTTTTTTTTTTCTCACGGTTGCCCTTAAACTACTGACGTCGCTTGTCGCCGGGGAACAGGGCACCCCACCCGGCTAACGAGCCGATGATGATGCCGCGCCTTCCTCGTCCTTCTCCTCCTGCCATCGGCCTGGCGAAAGCTAGTCTAATCTGTCCTTTTAGTGGCGCCTGGTAAATTAGCCAGCTTGGTATGACCTCCTGATGGTAACTATTTGCTGCATTTGCTGTAATCCAAAAGCTCCACTAGGCATGTAATGCTAACAAGTAGCCTAATCTCCTTATGGCTTTTTGCTAACCGCTGCTTTCTTCGCAATATGCTAACCTAGCGTCGTCTTTCTTTTATGTTGTTGTTATATTCTTTTTTTGGGGGGGGGGTAATTCTATGTTGAAAGACAGTCTTAAATATTTTTGGTCTTATCATCAGAAGTGTTTGTGAACGTTGTCTTCATTCACCTGACTTCAGTTTGCTCATGTCTGCGAGGCGTTTGGAAATGGCAATCAGTGTTCGGCAGTTTAACACGGTTCCAGTTATTATGCTGTTAAATTACCTGTACTACATCTCACTGGTATTATAATTGGTATTAAGGTTATGAGTGGTTCCTTGGAAAAATTACCTAAAAAGTTTTACAACACTTGTCTTATATGAAGCCTGATTGTTCCACATTTTGGGCAGAAGTGCATCTTTTATTTTAAAATGTGTGACAGTTTTTCATGATCAGTGTTCAGTCAGTGATTTGTTCCAGTGGTTTTGTGGATTTAGTGTTTCGATTGCTATTTGCAGTCTGTCGCCACCATGACAGAGGAAGAAACAATTAATGTGAAGGAGGTGGAGATCATCAAGGTGATCTTGGACTTCCTCCACTCCAGAAAGCTGCACATCAGCATGCTGGCTCTGGAAAAGGAGAGTGGCATTATCAACGGCCTCTACTCGGATGACATGCTCTTCCTCAGGTAGCCTCTATCATGACAGATTCCTCTCCTTTGCTACTTGAGGAGATCTTAAAAGTTGTGGACGTCAATTATTGTGATTGTTTTAGACAACTGGTGCTGGATGGCCAGTGGGATGAGGTCCTGCAGTTTATTCAGCCTTTGGAGTGTATGGAGAAGTTTGACAAAAAGAGGTATCGTACAACAATATGATTTTTAGTGATCGGTCAGTGTTGGCACAAATAAAAATACACTGTAAATAGCATCAGAATGTCACAATGACTCATTCTGCACTCCAGGTTCCGTTACATCGTCCTAAAGCAGAAGTTTCTGGAAGCTCTGTGTGTGAATAACGCCATGTCTGCTGAGGATGAGCCACAACATGTAAGTAAAAACAAGAGAGCACATTTGGCACGGTTACATCCATCCCTCCATCCATTTTCCGATCCGCTTTATCCTCACAAGGGTCGCGGAGCCTATCCCAGCCATCTTCGGGCAGTAGGCGGGGGACACCCTGAACTGGTTGGCAGCCTTAAGCTCATCGATCCATGTAAATTGGGTTCACATTCTTTCAACCGTGCTGTCACATAGCGGAAGCCTGTGAAAGCGTAGCTTGTGCGTGCTGACAGGATTGGGTCGCATCATTCAGGCATCTGTGAACACTACAGTATGCATCCACCGTGTACGCTATCAATAGTAGGTCAAGGGTTTTCATTTTAACACTGCTGTCCTACATTTAGAGTTCAGGTTAAGCATAGTTAGCGAACTATCTGCCCATATTCATTGAGCCACAAATGGGTACACAGGTTGATTATGTACCGTCGGCTGTGTAACGGAAGAGCATTTCATCGTTCTGTTTGTCACCATATGTCATTATTTGTAGTCATTAAATAATGTCCAGATTAATCAAATTGTATAATTTCCCACAGCGCAATAAAAGTACCAAATGTTGTCCGTCTTCAGTTAGTGTTCTGTGCCTCACCTATTGTTTTAGTTGGAGTTCACCATGCAGGAGGCGGTCAAGTGTCTGCACACCTTGGAGGAGTTCTGCCCCTCCAAAGACGACTACAGCAAATTGTGTCTCCTGCTCACTTTACCTCGCCTCACAAACCACGCCGAATTTAAGGCAAGGGATTTCTTTTACTTGCGCTCTTGCCATTTGTGGCCTTTGTGGTTGAGTTGCTTGTGACTTTACTGCTGTTCTCTTGTCAGGACTGGAACCCAAGCACAGCCCGGGTGCAGTGCTTCGAGGAGGCTTGCACCATGGTGGCCGAGTTCATCCCGGCGGATAGGAAGCTGAGTGAGGCTGGATTCAAAGCCGGCGGGGATCGCCTCTTCCAGCTCCTCCTCAAAGGAGTCCTCTATGAGTGCTGTGTGGAGTTCTGCCAGGTTGGGGCTGACAGTAGTACAGTGATAGTCCGCTGTTTGGGGGGGATAGGGAATTGGCGTCTGAGCCAACAAGTCATTGTATACCTGTCTGCACTAGGGAAGGCTGTTGGATCAGTTGTGGGATCTCTTTGTGTCCAGAGCAAGGCAACGGGTGAAGAGATCACGGAGAGCGAGGTCCTGCTGGGCGTGGACATGCTGTGCGGCAACGGCTGCGACGACGTGGATTTGTCTCTGCTGTCCTGGATGCAGAACCTGGCCCACAGTGTCTTCTCCTGCGCCTTCGAACAGAAGCAGCTCAACATCCACGTGGACCGCCTGGTCAAACCGGCCAAGACCGGCTATGCCGACCTGCTCACTCCTCTCATCAGCAAACTGTCTCCGTATCCGTCCTCGCCGCTGCGGCGGCCCCAGTCCGCCGACACCTACATGTCGCGGTCTTTGAATCCGGCTCTGGATGGGTTGTCCTACGGGCTGTCCAACCAGGATAAGCGAACGAGTGGTGGCGAGGCCGCACTGGGTAAAGGTGTCTCCCCAATGTCTCACTCCTTTGCCAACTTCCACTACCCTGGTGCGGGCGGACAGAACCTCAGCAAGAGCCTCTTGATGGAGAGCTCCGACTGCCACAGCATTTTTGAGGAATCGCCAGAAACGTGAGTTAAACCTTCTACCGCTACGTGTATACCAATCTGTTGATTGTTGATAATGAGACAGAATAAGAATAATTTTTAAAAACGTATTAATACCTGTTTTTGCACCCTTTATCCAAGGAGGACAAGCAAGCTTTTTTTTTTTTTTTTTTTTTGGTCAGTCGCTGTTGAAGTTTAGTGTCAATCTGTGCGTGTGCGCGTGTAGGTCGAGGACTGACACACCTGTGGACAAAATGATGGGTTCGAGCGTCGCTCAGAACTCACGCCCCGCATCGGCTCCTGGAGAGGATGCACCACCAGCTGGTTCTGCTGAAAAAAATGAGGTAAACACCAAACGTATTTCTGATATGGTATTGCTATGCTATTGACGTTTTTTGGAAGGTGGTTGTGGAATGATTAGAATAGAATAGAAAGTGTCTACTCCCAATCCAGTCCATAGAGGAGAGAGAAATGTGGGTGGAGCTTGACCTATCCCCACACAATGTAGCCTTTCAAGCGTGTTTGACGGGGAATTGCAGTGATCCGCCTCACACATTAAATTGCTATTGCATTCCATTACGTTGCCAAGAGTTTGCGCCGGCCTGCTTCCATACTTTTGTGTCCTATCCCCAAACCGATCTTTTACGTGGAGTATATAATGCATGCCGTTCTGCTTCAACTTTGCAGCTCTGGGACTCCTCCGAGAAGTACGAGGAGTATTACCGTCAGCGCCTACGTGTGCAACAGCACCTGGAGCAGACGCAGCAGCAGAGGCAGATGTACAAGCAGATGTTGTTGGAAGGCGGCGTGCAGCAGGAGCCTCCACCCAGTGACTTGCAGCACAGCCTTACAGAAAAGTTCCTCAACAGGTAAAAAAAAAAGAACAAAGAACTACCGAGGGTCCCGCTTGTCGGCTGTGAGCATCTGTCAGACGAGAGAAAGGGGAACGCATATTATGATCAATCCTGTTTGGCTTCCCCTCAGCACGCACCGATGCAACCCCCTCCCGTCTCCCCCACATGCCTCCCCCAATGCCTAATGCACCATCTGTGCTGACCAGCATCGTCTCATCACACAGAGTCCTTATCACACAAAGGCCTTTTTTATTACATTTCCCCTGAGAATGACCTCGTCTGCATTATTCACATCATCGGCTGTTTCCCCTGGTGCCATTTAATTTATATCGCGCCAAAGTAAGACGGAAATTATGCTGGTCACAAGAAGCCTCAAGATCACACGATGCATGCATTGCAGACAGCTCCTCACTTGAAAGAGTGCAGAAGAAATAACGTGTCTGTTTACAGGAATTATTTCAAATGTGCTTGTAAATGTAAATAGAAGTTTGCTTGTTCATGGGAAATCCCCTCACAATCGAGGCCAAGGGTTCTTAAACTCTTTTGGGTCCAAGGACCACTTAGAGGGGATTCATTGTGACAGTAATAATTCATTCATACATATTTGATGAGTATGACACAGATAATGTACTAATGTAGAGCCTGATGTGCGTCACCAGGTCCATCCAGAAACTGGAGGAGCTCAATGTGGGGATGGAGAGTTTAGGAGAGGAGGTGAAGTCTTTGGCCCAACAGTGCAACGGCAACGCACCTCCCTCCGAGTGCAACAACAACCCCGCCTCCGCCAGCCTGCAGCACAACCAGAGCGGCGACGGCGGCGGCGGCGGCGTGCTCAGCAGCACACCGCAGCGCGTTGCGGGAGGCCGTCCCGTCTCGCCCCTAAATGAATCCCCCATCATCCAAAACAGGTTTCTGCAGCGTCATAAGTTGCATGGTCAAACAAACAGACAGACAGATTTGAAAGGTTTTATTTCTGTTTGTTGACAGCGGGCAGAATCACAAAGCAAGTCCACATGGTGACTCACCAGGCTCATTATCCCGCAGTAAAGAGGTGCGTTGACACGGAAGGCACACGTCATATGTTGTGTTCATTGGCACTGCACAGCTTCAGCGTTCGCTCGTTTCCACCAATTAGTACAGTTTGCCTGCCCATTGTATGGCACTACTGCTACTTTATAGATTTTTATGGAACATATCTACTCATCCATGACAGAAAACTGCTTTTGGGAAAGGAGAACCACAGTTGGCGAGTGCCTCGGCCTCATGCTCATCACATTTTAATTTTGTTAATACGATTCTTTGAGGAGGATTACAAATGAACAGTTGACGCTAAAATGTCCATCTTGCCTTCATACTGTATCGCAATTGAAAGCACCATACAGCTTTACTGTTCTAAAACCCTTCTAGTAAATTACTGCTTAGTGCAAATGAGGAGGCTAATATGGCGAAGAAGATTATTAGGTACGCATTGTATCTGTGCCACGTGTGCCATGGATGACATGCTGCTTAAATATCGAGGTCATGGTGTTCTGTTAAATGGATCTAATGTGATTTTTTTTTTTGTTTGTTTTTTTTAAACAGGGTAGTGACAAAGAAAAAAGACTGTTTGTGCCCGTGCATACTCTCGAGGACACTCAGGCTGTTCGTGCCGTTTCCTTCCACCCGTCTGGGACCCTCTACGCTGTTGGCTCCAACTCCAAAACACTCCGCGTCTGTGCCTATCCAGAAACACGCGACACCAGGTGACTGTGGCCGCCGGACAAACATGTACAACCTTACCACGCTATTACCCCTCCCGAGCTCATGTCATTCTTTCGTTAGTGGCTCGAGTCCAGCGACGCAGCCGGTAGTCCGCTTCAAAAGGAACAAACACCACAAAGGTTCGATCTACTGCGTGGCCTGGAGCCACTGTGGGCAGCTGCTGGCGACCGGCTCGAACGACAAATATGTCAAAGTTCTACCGTTCAGCGCGGAGACTTGCAATGCCACAGGTACAGTAAGTGTGTCTGAATTAGTCAAACCTTGAATAACTCGCCGCAATAGGTAGATTATTCATCCCGTGATGAAAATTAACCTGCTCCAGGCGCAGCAGAGATCTTCACACATATGCACTTGCATTGATAATAGGTTGGGAAACGTAGGTTGGGAAATACTACTCACTGGTGTGACATCGTGGTGCGTCCCCTCTCAGGCCCAGACTTGGAGTTCAGCATGCACGACGGCACCATCAGGGACTTGGCCTTCATGGAGGGCCCAGAAAGCGGAGGGGCCATCTTAATCAGCGCCGGAGCAGGAGACTGCAACATTTACACCACCGACTGCCAGCGAGGGCAAGGCCTGCACGCCCTCAGCGGACACACGGGTACGCATGGGTACACAACGCCCGAGATGACAATTGTGTTGGATGTCAACTCAAACTGTGCGCTTTGTTTTGTAGGTCACATCCTGTCTCTATACACGTGGGGGGGCTGGATGATCGCATCCGGCTCCCAAGACAAGACGGTGCGTTTCTGGGACCTCAGGGTGCCCACCTGCGTGCGAGTGGTGGGCACAGCCTTCCACGGCTCAGGTATCGGCGGCATTTTGAAAACAATTCATCAAACAGCTTTGGATGACTTTGGTACGGTCTGCACGTTGCTGAGTGATCCTAAAATTTGCAACTGTTGTGTCCATATAACATGTATTTGTTTGGGCTGAACAGTTTTGAAAAATAACCTCCCATAATTTCCCATGAATAATATGCCCTCTGATATAATAAGACTGGGGCGGCCCCCACGAGTAGTGAAAATCTTCGTATAAATGGACTAATATGTCCATGGGTGCCAAACTGCAAGTATGTGGGGGTTGACTTTAAACGCCTACATTTTTATTTTTTTTTACCTTGACATTAATTTCTTGATAAATGACCATTAAAAAATTTTCACTTTTACTTTTTTTCCCTTCTTATCCGTAAATGTCCATTATAATTAAATTAATGATGAATATTTAAAAAAATAAACTTTCTTAATGCTTTCTATAGACACTGAGATGAATTCTATTGAGATTTGCCAACACGTGTCCATCTGCGTCTCCTCCTCAGGCAGCCCCGTGGCCTCGGTGGCGGTGGACCCGAGCGGCCGTCTGCTGGCGACGGGACAAGAGGACAGCGCTTGCATGCTCTACGACATTCGAGGCGGGCGCATCGTGCAGGTGTACCGCCCGCACGGCAGCGACGTGCGCTCCGTCCGCTTCTCTCCCGGCGCGCACTACCTGCTCACTGGCTCCTATGACACCAAAGTCATGGTCACCAACCTTCAAGGTCAATTTGTCTACTGGGCCCGGGAGCTTGTCTTGGGCAATATATGAAATTCGTGAGAACTGCCGACTGTTATGCACAATAGACTTTAATTGAGTCACCGTTCAGGTATACTTTTTTCCCTTTAAGTGCGGTGTTAATGTATATGAACAATAGCTTAAAATATTAAACATGTAACTAGAGGAGCTATTATCTGCTTCGTCCCTAATGAGGACGGGCGATGGATGTTCATATTGGCTGTCTCAATTAATGTCTTTTTATTTTTATTTTCCCTGCGCTCAGGTGACCTGACTAAGCAGCTGCCAGTGACGGTGGTGGGGGAGCACGGCGACAAGGTGATCCAGTGTCGCTGGCACACAGAGGACCTCTCCTTCCTGTCGTCCTCCGCCGACCGCACCGTCACGCTGTGGACTCACAACCCGTAATGCGGTCTCTCACACACACACACACACACACACACACACTCTCACACACAGCACACACACAGCACAGCATTTCATCTGAAAGCCGCACGCATGCACACGCACACCCTCACAATAACAGTTGGCGGCGTAGGGATTCACGATGATCATAAACTAGCAACACCGCAGAGGCACATGCTGCACATAGTCACACTGTTGAAATTTATTTGAGCATTTATTTGATATCCGGTATGGGGTCCATGTACTAGGATGTACTTTATTTTTACTACTAAGGCAGGTCAGCACACGAGTTGAACTAGTTCTGTTTTTCCACTTCTTGTGCCACTTTTGGCCAACTAGTTCGGAATTAAACCTTAAAAGTAAACTAGTATACTGCACTTGTCACACTACCAGGCCCAACTAGTAGGCGTGTGTCACACACTGGTAGCCTCCTGGATCCTACGAGTGGCACCAAAGTGCCACTAGTACATCTGACATGTAGTTGGGTTTAGGAGGCTACTAGTGCATGACACATGCCTTCTAGTTAGGCCTGGTAATGGCTTTGCATACTAGAAGCGTGCAGATGTCAACTAGTGGACACTTTTGGCTCACTAGTAGCGTAGTTCATCACTGTGGTGACACACAAGACACACGAGGCTGCATGCGCGTTCACTGACAGGAACGAAGCTCTTTTTCATGATGGTGCCTTTCTTGAGTTCTCAAATGAACACAGACCAGATCAAATTCCACATTTTTGCCAACCCATTTACTCCAGCTGCTGTTGTATTTTATTTATTTATTTATTATTTCCCTTCGGAAAACTGGAAGTTCTCATGTGAAATTGTAATCGTACGGCGTGTCAAATAGCAAGCTTGTGGCAGCTTTTACAGTCTCTGCTGTTGCTTCCCCTCATGCCGACCTTCATTTACCCACCGGAGTACAACCCCAAATGTGTATATCGTTCTTCTTAAATTGAGCAATCAGTATTTTTTTTTTTTTTTTTTTTTTTTTTTTTTGCAGGAGCGGTTCTAAACAATGAACAGTTGTTATTAAGCCAGTTTCCAAAGGGAATAGAAGGCTCCATTTGTAGTTGAGCAGATGTTTTTGGTCATTTGTTGGTTCTTTTTAAATGCTGCTGTACTGAGGTCACAACGGTAAGGGGCAGTCGATACTCTTACTAATTTTTTTGCACAGTACATAGGAACGTTAATATTTATTTGAAGCCAGTATTTGGGACATATAGACTGTGTTCACTTCTTGAAATTTAATGCACTTTGCTGTCTAACGCAAATGTTTTGTCCTCCTAATTTATTTTTGTTTTTAAATGCTAATGTCTTTTAACAAATAACACCAAACTAATACGTACAAGCATATTTATTTCAGTTGTGATTATGTACAATTATGTAATGAAATGCTAGTGGCCGATGTATTGAGCCTGTCTTGTTTTCTAAAAAAAAATGTAATTTAATGCAAGCCAACAAATTGATGTTACGTTCATTAAAGTGTCTTTTAATCAAGCGTAATTGTGTTTCATTGGAATGGGTCAATAACACCAAAAGTAGCCATGAGAGGCATTTAATTGCTCTAACCTCATCTAAAAATTAAGTACAAAAGATTAGCACTGTACACATGAATTCACACAATTCTTGAGACGGACATTACTGGGAAAAGATTTGTAAAATTATTTTGCCAATCTGCAATTGAAAAACGAAATCCATATAGAGAGACAGAAAAACAGAACAGTGAACAGAAGCACAACAGTCATAAAAAGCACAACACATACAAATAGAAATGCATTTGTGTATTACAAGTAATACAAAGGTGAAATCATGACACCGTAGTCGTGAAAAACAAGGATTAAAAACATTTTGTCCCTGATACCGTTTGTGCAAGGTGAGTTGAGAGTTCCTCCACACGGTCGACTACATGCTGGCTGATGCTTTTGATGGGTCTATTTGAACTTGAAAGGTATTGTAAACCCCACCTTTCAAGGGGGTCCTTGGGGAACGTAAGTGCTTTGTTCAGTTGGAGGCAGCGTTGGTCTTTGCCGCGGTGGAGGGCAACGTGACACGCTGCTCGTCCATTCTTTTGGCCTGCGAGCGCATGATGAGGCTGAAGAAATCCTCGTCCGGTACCGTGGGCCCACGCGCCGGAGGAGGAGGAGGTGCGGAGCGCTGGTCGTCCAAACGGGATCCCTGGAGGTAACGTAACAGAGCCAGTTAAGACTACTGCCTTGTCATACAAATAGAGCCCAAATGTAGCATCATATGTCATTGTCAAAAATTAATCGACACCATGTGTTTTAAGTATTAGTAGGAAATTAGGTACTGCCACACCACTCAGCCCACCTGGCACTTGACCAGCATGTTGAAGAAGTCTTCGTCGGGCTCGGCGTTGTCTGCATTGGCCATCAGGTGGTTGAGCACGGCCTGGTTGGTGTTCTGATTGAGCCTGAGACCCGGCAGGCT